CCGGTTCCATAAGCAGCATTGTATAAAACTAAACAGAAACATCTGTGCAGTGGTTAGAGCCCGGTCTGATTGCCGTTTTTTCCCCGCAGTGCCTGAGGGGTTCCAAACAAACTCTCTCCAAGTTCTCTTATGAGCCTCAGTGCTCCATTTCTGTGCTTCTTAATGTGTGTGTGTGTGTGTGTGTGTGTGTGTGAGCAGGGGGACAACATTAGTTCGGGAAGCCTTGGTGTGTGTGTGTGTGTGTGTGTGTGTGTGTCGAATTCATCTAAAGCAAACTGATGAACGAAATGCAAGCTGATCTTAGCTGCATCATTTGGAATGGAGCCAGAGGGATGGCACAAGCCCTCTTCGCCCCGGGACCTATCCGGTCATATGAAAGCAGCCCATAAACACATCTGGCTGATCTGGAAAGAGGTCTTGCGGCTTTCCTCCTCTTGGCCAATGGGTTCCTCTCATCCTCCATTCTGCTGCGTCCAACAAGAGTGCAGTTTTTCCGATGGGGGAGAAAGTGCATGTGATACTGAAACCATTCAAGGAATAGCTACTCCCTCCCTCTGATTCTGTGAGCTGATTCATCTGATTCCTTTTGTAATCCCAGAGCTTAACTATTTCTGTCCTAGCTTTAGTTCTTATATCCTTTTCCCACCCCCACTGGCAGCCTTCACTTTCAGTGACACACCAAATGACATTTACCGGGCTCCACAAGTGCAACACACTCACAAACCGGTTGTTCACAAAGGAGGAGGCACACAAGTTTAAGAAACACGTAAGAAGGCAAGATCAAATTTAATGCAATAAGACAGCCACCAGCAACCAAAGTAAATAATGCTGCAGTGAACAGAAAAATACTCTGACCTGGTATTTATTCCTAAATGCTGCACTGGACAATCCTTCATTTCACCTGCTTTTGTTCCCTAAGGCACATTTCGGTAGATGGTGCATGTTTTTCAGCCAAAGAAACATTAGCATCTTTCCGATGTCACTTAGCTTTCTTGCTGCAACTATGCACTTCATGAGTGCTTCCCCTGCATTTTAGGGCCAGCTGTCAAACGGATCCTTTTATACACTTTTGCTTCAGATATGTTTTCTTAAAGTGTTCTTTCCTAGCTGCGTGAATCCACAAATCCTTCTGCTGTTCTTTTGTTTTTGCTCAGAATTTACTTCCCAGACTGCTTTAGTTTGAGGAAATTAGGAAAAGCCTTGTCTATACTGGCAAAAAAGGTGGAAAAGACGGATCAAGGCCCTTAATAACACAAAGCAATGAAATGCAAAAGATTATACTCCAGTAACTGTTAGTCATGACTAAATTCCTTTTCATTAGCTTAGTGGAACAGCAGCCTAATCTAGGACTTGACTTAATCACAATCAATATTTGAATGTGCAGTTCACCAGTTTCAGAGGAACAGGAAGCCAGGATTCCGGCTCTTACTTGGGTGCTCTCACTGGCAAGACCAGCTAAACAAACCAGGAATTGTTCTTTTGCTTGTTCTCCAACCCTGCATCCTAGTTTGCTGCTCCAGGATTCTTAAACCAAGAACAAACCATGATTGATGATCCTGGCTAGTAAAGGGAGCAATAAGCCAGAATCCCCAGTCTGGAGGACAAGCTAAACAAACATCGTTAGGTTTATTTAGCCATTCCCACTATCAGAACAAAGCCTAGAAAGGCAAACAGGCCTCCCCATTTTGTGTGATCATAGCCACTGGGCTCCACCTGACTTGTTTATACTCAAATATTTGGCCAGGTATATGTAGTTGTTTTAAATACACAAGTCGCCGCACGTGCAGATAAACTGTGGCCTTTTCCAGCCACGCGTAGGCCCATGATGCCTGCTAGCAGGAAGGTGCCACGAATCAGTACAGATGTGCAGCCATTGTTTCTTGCTCCTTCCTTTAGACCAAGTCAGCTTGTCTGCCTCTGGTTTCTAACCCATCCCACACACGTTTCAGTTCCATCAACATTTTCTCCTAGGCTGGATATAGCAAAGATGGCATTCCTCACCTTGTATCTCCAAAACTATCCTGTCACGAAGGCTTGCAGCTTCCAGTTCCCCAGGTCTACAGTTTTCAGGGAAGGGAGCAGATAATAATGTCTGACTCCCTTTTCTCACAATACTCAACCCTTCCTTCAGCTCTTCTTTGTTACGAAGGGCAACAGTTCCTCTTTGCAGTTTCTTCCAATATGTTCTTCCACCTTCGTTCTTTGCTGGTCTTTTCCCCCCTAGTGATCTCTCTTCTGAGAACATTTCTAAGAAAATAATGTTTCTCTTTGCCTAGTCATTGATTTATTTTGGTTTGTTATTTATTCTATTTACATCCTGTCTTTTTTCCTTTCAAGGAACTTGACGTGGTTTATGCAATCATGTTACCACTCTTCCTAATCCCCAGACCTGTGCCCTCTTATTTAACCAGATTACAAGATGCAGTTGCTTCCAATCTCAGACATTCACATCCAGGTCCCTGCTTCCTCTCCAGTTCTCACCTGCTTTTTCGTCAAAGCTATTGCATGTAAACATCTGGGCAGCCTTTCCAGGGGGTCAAGCAACAAAGAATTTCTTGCAACATTATGATGAGAGCAGGAACCAAAATCACATCATCCAAAATTAGAGAGCATCCTTGCAGTTTGGGAAAATATAAGAGAGCTCCAATACTCTGACAGTACCGCCATGTGAAGGGACAAAAATATTAACCAAAGATGTTTATGTCCTTTCAAACAGTTAACAAGCCACAGAACCCAGAAAATGAGTCAGTTGTCTAGACCTTAGCCAAGAAACCATGCAAGTAACAGTGTTTATGGTCAGTGATTGGGTTCAAGCGCCATGAATATGGGTTGAGTGTGGGCTGCTGATGAATAGCGGTTGAAATGTGAGCAATCCTGGTGGAAGCAGATTCTTCATCCAGAGTTAACCTCTTAAGACTCGAACCTTTGTTTGCCTAACATTTGTAATGGAGATGATTTACATTTTGTATCAAGTCTTTGAATCTGTGGTTACATTTTACATTCTGTTTACATTTTACATTAAACTGTGGACATTCTGTATTTTTAATCTTAAATTTGATATTGGGTAGTGATTATACAGGTGACCCAAGTACAGAAGCTTGTTGCTTCTTCTTCAGTCTATTCTGATCCATATTTTGCACAAAAGGAAGATACGGCTGCATGAGAACCGCTCTGATTTGATTTGAAGTGGTCCTTAGTAAAAAGGCATACAGGATCTGGGGACTGTACCCACCAATGAAATTACTTAGCTCTTGAAGAAATCAGAAACGTAAGACCACTCACTTCAATATTGTGTGACACTACTACTTGGCAGTATTCCAGTCTGCAAAGCATACATAAGGCATAAACCCCTGCATGTTTAGACAGGCAAAAATCCTACAATTCCCAGCATTCTCTAGCCAGCACAGGAGGTTTTTTTTCCCCCAGCTGAGGCATGCTGGGAGCTGTGGGCCACTTTTCTCACTGGGAAATTCTGGAATTCTATGGCATTTTTTCTGTCTAAACATGCATAGGCTTGAGACTACACACAGGGAAGAGCAAAATGGCCAGAGGCTCAGATATTCATGCAAGCGGACCTGGCCTTCCACAGAGAGCCCCAAAACCTGCTTCAAGAGCTCTGAAGAGTTCAGCATGTCAGAAACACGCTGGATCACAAGGATGATCCAAAGGCTCATAACTTGGGCTTCCTACCCACCCCTCCTGGCAGCTCTCCTGACACCAGGTCTGCCTGAAACAATTGTCAGTAAAGTCTCCAGCCAGCATTTCTGAGCTGAGCTTGTTTACACACCACAAAGGGCCACACTTGCACACCGCAAGATGCCCCCAACACCAAACCGCCATTTTACACATCCAAGCCATGGGGGCCCCACACCATAGCTTGTCCTTAACATGCGGACCTGGCGAGCATGGCTTCTCAGGCTGCCTGGCAAGCCACCCACAACCCATGGGCTGTTTTAGGGGCACCAGTTGCTTGTCGAGCACCCCAACATTCTACAAGGTACGCCACCTTACCACCATGGTCGGATTATTCAGAATGGCAGCCACTGCCACAATGAGTAGCTTTGTGGAGAAATGGCCCCTGGAGACTTCTCGTGGCATGCAAAACGGGCCCCCCTTATTACGATGATAAGCAGAGGTCTTTCCCTGGTTTCTCACGCCATCAGAGGTTTTGCCGATGTCTCCTAGGGCGCCTCCTGTCAAGACTTCCATAACGCGATCACTATGCAATCATGCAGGGATCCAGATGCATTGTCCTCCATTTTTATCCCTACCATGTTTCCTCCTCTCTTCTTTCCTACCAGGACAAAAATCTATCACACTGAATTGCCCATGCAATGCCTTTGGATAATGAGCATGAGTAAGCTTCCATGCAGGAGCGCCCTTAGTTGACATGGTTTATGGGGGCAGACAAAAGCACAAAGTGACACGCGATGATCTCACTGTCACTCTGCAGATTCCATTTGTTTCTTTTAACTGCTCGTTCCTCTTGAGATCACAAGAAGACTCTCGCTGCAAAGTTGGGATAACAAACAAGCATTCAATCCTATGCCAGTTTGCACAGGGAAAAAATACCTGGCCAGAGAATGCTGGGAAGTCTGGACTTTTAGTCCTCATGGGGCATTCTGGGAACTTTGGAACTTTTTCCCTGGCCAAGGAATTTGAGCTGTTGTAGCGCTTTTTTGTTGGCTGGGGGAAACTGGGAATTGTAGGTCCTTTTACTTGGCCAAGGAAAGCAGGGAATGGTGGGACCTCTTCCCCCTGCCTAGTGAATTCTGGCAGTTGCAGGCCTTTATTTTCTTGGCTAAACTTGCATAGGATTGCACTTTCAGTGTGTGAAGCTGCTAGTCACCCTGCCTCTGTTTAGGGCACTCTTTCCTCGGTGTAAAAGAATCTAGGCTTTCCAGCGGGGCAAAGCCTCAGAAAACCTGCCGAGTGGATGGAAACCGGGGCTGGGGGTGAGGGAAGAACAAAGGTGGGGGGGGAGAAGAGCTCCGGCTTACTTTCACAGGGGAGCCCCCGCTCCGGCTCGGATCCGGGGTTCCTGCCGCTCTCCTCCAAGGTAAGAATGAGGGGTACGTCGTCGTCTTCCGGATTCACAGCCATGCCCACCGGCCGATCCCCGGGACGCAGCTTTGCTTTCGCTCCACAGATCCCCCTGTTCAAATGCGAGCTGGCATCAGAGAGCGGGTCCCGCTTGCAGACTGGGACGCGTCCCGGGAAAAGCGTCGCCCATCTCCGTGCAAGCCGGGCCCCGCGTGGAGCCGGCGGGCACCCCTGCGGAGGTCTGGCACGGCACGGCGCGGCGCGGCGCGGCACGGCGCGGGGACGGGTCTCGTCGCGAGCGAGCGAGCGAGCGTCGTGGCTACACCGGCGCCCACTCTTGCGCCATAGACCTCCTCCCTCCTCGCCCTCCTTCTCCTCTTCTGCTGCTGCCGCCGCCGCCGCCGATGCTCGCCTGTCCCTAACCTCGGGAGCGCCGTCTGATTGAGGCAGAGGAGCAGGAGGAGGGTCCCGGGAGGAGAGGGAGGCGGGGAAAGGGGAAGCGGGCGGGCCCGCCGCGAGGGGGAGAGGCAGGCCCGGGCCGCTCGGCGTCAGAGGGTCGGCCTGGCGCGTCGAGGCGGCGCGCCCGGCCCCCTTCGGGGCCTTTGAGGGGCGTTTTAATGCGGCGCTGCTGCGGGCCTCCCGCCCGGGCCCCAACCCCGCTCGGGGCGTCCGTCGCGCGGGAGCAGCTGTGCCCGCGCCTCCCTCCCCGCGGCCCCGAGGACTGCAAGCGGGGAGGGCCGCCCTGGGCGGGCACTCTCGGGCCACATTCCCCCTCCCGCAGCCACGTGGGTGGTCCGCCTTTGCGGGAGCTGTGGGGCTGTAATAATGCGCCCCAGAGTCTCCTCCTCCTGGAAGCAAGTGGGGGATCAGCTTTTGCGGTTACCGCTGCGCTTTTGCACCCCAACTTCCGCCTTTTGTGAGCAATGGGAGGGGGACCTTTCCAGGCGCTGTTTCTTGTTTGTGCAACCCTAAATTGTGGGAAAGTTGGAGGGGGCGGGTGCTTTAGATGTACCCCAGGTTTTTCTGTGCACTGTCAACCTTCTTTAGGCTGGTGTGTTAATTTCAGGAGTTCAGTAGGTATGATTACTTAAAAGTAAACACTCAGTTCTATAGCTCTTGCTCGTTCATATATTTGTATACTTTATATAGGTAATAAGGATTGCCCCATAGGATAGCGTACAAGTGGAAACGGGAAGTGCCTTTCGTGGTTTCTGGTTTTCTGCTGTATCTTTATGACATCAGTAAACAAACCAAAAATAAAAACCAACCCTTTCACCTTCTTTTTAGCTTTAGGAAATCCCGATTCCTAATCCTGAGTGTTTATAGGGTTGCGGAGCTAAAGCAGTTAGGAAAAAATGCCTTCCACCATTACTGAGCTCCGCATTTGAATTTTGTAGCCTAAATGGCAACTCCCCTCCCCCAACTCGGTAGGTAATAAATAGGAAAGTTGTTTGCATATGGCAGCAACGTTAGCACGGGCTGCCTCTTGGTTGCCATTAACCCCACAACCCTCTTGTTGGTGGGCTCTTGCAGCAAGTAATGGTCTAGGGTCCCGGACAATCTCTAGCATCTTTGCGCTATCCCCACAGAGATCCTCGGGGCTCGAGCAGAAGAAATCCAATTTTTTTGGCCCACCCATCTTTAGGCCTACAACTCCCATCTGCCTTAGTCAGCATAGGGAGGATGGGAGATGTAAGCCATCTAGAAGGCTACAGTTTGCTCATTCCTGGTATAGAGCGAAGTGTCTGTCGAAATCATTCTCAACGGAGAGAGTTCCTTTATCTATAGTACGAAATCCTAAATCCAAACGAGCCTTCAGAGTTTACCGTATTTTCATGTATCACTCTACACTTTTATCTCTAGGGTTTCCCTCCCGCGCATCGTTCGATTGAGTCTGCGGCTCAGGAATGGACTGTGGAAAGACGGGAGGGGCGGGTGGGCCAAAATCCCTTCTATTGGGTCGGCCCTTGAACGACTTTCGGAGGCATTAAGGTGGGCGGGGCGAAGGACCGTGCTTGGAGCTTTGGATTGGTGGCCTCGCCTTCCTTCCCAGGGTGCTCCTCTTTCCCCTCCCGCCCCAGCGTCGTGGTTGCCAAGCAACGGGCCTTGGCCTTGTTTACAAGCGGAAAACGGTCCTGGAGAACCTCTTGATGAAAAGGACTTTTGGGGGTTGGGGGTGAGTTTAAGAGAGTTAGTGACCCTGTGTGTGTGTTTCTATTTTTACTTTTTTAATTTAGGAGATGTTCGTTAGATTTCTGCACCCACGGCTTGTTCTGGCTGCTGCCAGAGCAAGGTCCTTAGGTGATTTGGGGCTGGTCGCGAAATCTCTCTCTCTCCACCATACTGAGCCCACTGGGGGCATCTCATGAAGAAGGTTCGAGGATTCAAAAGAGGAAGGTGGGATATAAATCTCATAAATAAAATATAACTCTTATAAATAAATAAGATGATGGGGGAAGGTTTGGGACAGATCCAAGAAAAATTAGAAAGTTTGCAGAGGAGGGCAACAAAAATGATCCATGGTTTGGAAACACTGCCTACTGAGGAGAGAATGAGAGAACTGGGCATGTTCAGCCTTGAGAAGAGAAGACTGAGGTGGCGGGGTAGGACATGAGATCCCTCTAGCAGTCCCTCAGAGGCTGTCACAAAGAGGAAGGTCAAGATTGCGTCTCATGGGTGCCAGAGTGCAGGACATGGAATAATCCAAGTTGCGACAACCCAGATTCAGGCTGGACATCAGGAAAAGCTCCCTCACTGTCAAAGCAATATGGCAGTGGAACCAGCTGCCTAGAGAGGTGGTGGGCTCTCCCGCCCTGGGGATATTCAAGAAGAAACTGGGCAGCCATTTGAGTGGGATGGTGTGACCTGGTGTCCTGCAACAGCAGGGGGTTGGTCTCGATGACCTTCATGGCCCTTTCCAGCTCGGCTGTTCTTTGATTCTGTGAAGGCAGGGCTTCTTTACATGGTGCAGAGTTAAATGACAATTCACTGCCACAAAGATGTTAGGATGGCCACCAGTTTGAATCAATTCATGGATGAGAAGGCTCTCCATGGCCATTAATCCTCGTGGTGGTAGGAAGTGTGCTCATGTGAGCTGTTCTGGCTAAGGAGCAGTATAGAAATCAAATAAATACATGTGCACCCCCTGCTGGGGAGCATGAGCAGGAGGCTGCTGTGGTGCTCCTGTTTTGGGGCATCTGGCTGGCTACCATGAACAAAACACTGGACCAAGTGGACCCCTGGCCTGGTCCAGCAGAGCTCTTGTTATGGGCTTGGTCACCAATTTTCTCTAAGCATGACTTATATCACCTGTAAAGAGAAACGGAGAAAGGGGTCCTGAGCTCTTCAGGGAAAGGAATGTGAAATACTTAAGAGAAGGAGGGTGGGGTGTGACAGTGGAATGTATGTATGTCTGCTTAGGAGTCAATACCGTTGCATCCTACTGTATTTACTCTCAAAGTGAGTATTTGTTGGAGTGAAGCCTTTTAGGATGCAACCTACATTTGTCTAGGTAAATAAAGAAGTCCTACAAATCCCAGTGTTCCCAAGCAGGCATGGCTGGCTGAGGAATGCTGGGAATTGTAGGACGTCTTTTCTATCTAAACATGCACGTGTTTGCTCACTTCTCGTACTGAATAAGATTTTTGGTACTAGATTTTGACACCATTTTCTGTTATTGTTAGTGTCAGCTGATTTACTCAAAGAGACTGACACAGTGGAAGCGTTAAAAGTATCTGGACACCTGGTGCAGAAGACCGAGACTTTGTGGCCTAGAAAAGTTACATGGTGAGTGTACCTAGGTGACAACAATGGCCACTGAAGTAGTCTCTCCGTCCAGTGAGCACATTGACCCAAGCCGGTCCAGAAGGCAAACACTCCGAATACCCTTGAAGATTCAGGATCCTGGTCGGTCGAAACTGACTACCATTGAGACGAAGAGAATTATATCTGTCCTGGATGAGACCATCCTTAAAGTGGAGCTGGTCACTACCTTCTCTTACATCACTGAGAATCTGGAAGAGTTCAGTGCACTGTTGGGACCTGAACTTACTGGAGCGCTTAAGGAACACCTGCGTCTTTCAAACACCATGGAAGCCACGCTGAGCCGCCTTGACAAAGAAGGAGTACTGCATAAGGGCACAGCCAAGGGAGAGCTTTATGGGGCTGAGGACCCAACAGGTTACCTCTCCTTGCACATAGAGGGCCTAAGAAGCTCCGTCAGAAATATTGTGCGCCTCTTTTATGCCAACCCCACTGTGTGCCAGGTTGTGAGAGGCACTGCCTATGCCAGACATCCAAATGCCAGTATGTTTATTCAAAAACTTTCAGAGTTCCGGGGGTTCTTGTTTGAGAAGCTTCTGACTACTCCTTTAGAAGAAAAAGAAAAAAGACGGTTCATGAAGGAAATCACCCAGCGAGACCAGAAGAACACGGAGATGATTGCCGCTCTGGAGGATGAGCTGGCTGCAGCTATCCAAAATCGAGATAATGAGGTATGGTGGCTAGGAGGTGGGGCAGTTCACTTGTGGGTTGACAGTCCAAACCTGTTGGATCCCATTTCCAGCCCCAAATTACAACAAATTAATTGCAAAAGTTTGCATGAACTGTTTCTTGTTCAGTCAGTAGAACGGTGGGCAAGAGAAAGAATTCTGAATCAGAACATGAGAAGTTAATCCCAGAAACTAACAGTTTGTGCCCCAGCATTCAGTTTTTGGCCTTTCCTTTAGCAGGAATCCAAGATCTTCAGATAGCTGTAAATTTGGGGCTGTAGCAGAATCAACCATCCCCTACTAAAGAGTACTTGTTTTTACATGAATGGTTCAGATCAGGGGGTACAGTCTGCAGGGACCCCAAGACCTATCTAGTGCCCCCCCCCCCCGACCCACAGAATACCACACTACAACAAGGCTGTATGGTTCCTGCCATGGAGATCTCATTCCTAGAGCAGTCTCAGAGCATTCTAGCAAGTAGTAGTTGAAGGCTCCCTTCTTAGGACTGGGCTTCTCTGGCAGCACCCATATGAGAATAAGCTCCATTGAGTACAGTAGGGTTTGCTTCTGAGTAACCCTGTATAGGATCGCACTAGCATCAAAGATGGTGACGGCTGTAGCAGGAGCACTACCTCTGCTTGGAGCCTCCCTTCTCCAGGCAGGCATACATGGCCGCAAGCAGGAGGTGGGCAACGTTTCCTGCTTCTCCTGTGCTCTCCCTATATGGGCTTGGGCCCAGTAAGAGGAGACATGCCTTTGGAGAGAAGCCAGCTGTCTGTGCAAAACATACAGCCAGCACTGGATTGCAAAGGGCAGCCCTGGCTAGCCAGTTAGGAGGGTGGGGAGGATGTCCCCACCATGGCAGCCGTTCTCTACTCCCCAAATCTTTGCCAGTGTTACTTAGAGCAATTCTCTAGATCTGTGTTGCCTTTTCAAAAGACTCTGCATATCTGTCTGTTCTGTGGTGAAATGCTGTGCGCTGACCCAACCCGGCACTGTTCAGATCTCTAGGATGAACGCTGCAATCAAGGAGCTCAAAACCCACTTACACAATCTAGCAAAGTTCTCTGAAAGCCAAATCCAGCGCAACCGGGCAGACACGGAGAAGCAGCAGAAGGGGGAGACGCGCGCCTCTCAGGCAAAATGTGCCAAGCTGCAGCAGGAGCTCCAGCAGCTGAGGGCTCAGCTCAACGCCCTCATTGCTGAGAACCGCGAGTCTGAGCTCAATCTCCGGAAGGTACCTCAGGGGCGGTGGGGGATCCGACAACTTAACTCAGGGTCCAGGGCTGCCATCTCAGCCATCCCTGCTAGGTGGCTCGCTCTGCTACGGTCCATTTAGATTTATTTCCAAGCACACGTCCTTGGTCTGAACGTCTCAAATAGGCTTGCACAGCTAGTGACCCATTGAGCCGAACACAGTCCCCCAGGCTCACCCTGTGGCCTGTCAGGGCATGATAAATATCCTGATCGTGCTGCTTGCTGTGGCTGTGAGAAAAGGGAGCATGGATCAGTTGGCTAGCAATCCACAGGGGCCAGGGAAAGCTGGAAGTTACAGGGCTTTTTTTTAGTAGTCCAAATGCATGTAGGATCATGCCTTAAGAATATGTTATTAAAATAAGCTCCCCAGAAAAACAAACAAGCCCTCCCTCCCTCTTGATTGAAATATTTTACTTTTATGAATGGAATGTTGAACTTTTACAATGGTGACATATACTCAGCAAGTTAATTTACCCTGGAGGAGGCTGAACTTAATCAGACTTTTGTTGAGAAGCAGTTTCCCTGAGGGAAATATAGTATTCCTGTGTTCAAAACACACTGCAGTTTGCTTACATCAAGGCACATGTGGCTGTGGCTGACACTCCTTCACTCACGGAGGGTCAGTTGGCTTGGCAAAAAACCTTCCAGTCCAGACTGGCTGGCTGAAGAATACCAACCGTCTGGTGTACCTCCCCTGATAAAGCAGCAGCTGCCCCAAACAGGAACTTGGCTGGTTGCCATCTGTGTGGTCAGTCGGGTTTTGAGCTGAAGTGCAGCCCCCTACTTTGTAACAGACCCAGATTAGCAGGACCCTTGAAGTCATCAGAAGCAACTGCTTCTGACTATCCGCTTGACAGCACCGATACCCCGAACCTAAGCAAAGGTCATGGGCTGCTATGGCAGGCAGCAATGGCTTAGCCCCTTAAAGATTATGCACTCTGCTTTCTCCTGAAAACCCTTTTCCTATTTCATTTATTTTAGAAGAAGTACAAAGTGGAGATGGAAATAGAAAATTGGATCCAGAAGTACGATACCGAGATGATAGAAAAGCAGGTACTGATACCATCCCAGACATGGCCTGAGCCTTTTTTCTGCCATGTCAGTTTTGCGCTTGAGAGCCCATTGCACAAAAATTACACTGCAAGATCCTTGGTTCTCTCCCCTCCCTTGCATCTGTTGGGTTTATTTTCTACCTCCAAGATCATGACATCACTTCTGAAGCCAAGCCGTTCTTTCATTCTTCTTGCTGGATAACTGTTCAGGCAGCCCAACCTTGGTTAGCTGAACCTCAACACACATATCCTTCAACCACATTTTGAAAGCCAGGATGAGGCCCAGAATTAGTCTGGGGGTGAGTGGTCACCGGCATCATTTTGCCAAATGGTGGAAGAATTTCATCTCGCATCAGATTCAGATGTTTCGTAAATGATTGCCTGTAACCGCCCTTTAGTGTGAGATGCAGGCAGGAGCTTTCGAGCGCACCATAAAGATGGTATTCTGGATGTCAGGAGGTTGCTGCAGCAGGAAGTTGCTGTTCTAACCTCTTGCTTCCTCCCAGCAGAGTTCTCCATTTCTCCTCATCCTCACCACAGGTGTGGAGCTGGAAAGACACCCACCTTCTCCAAGCCTGGATACTTTGTGCAAGGAGGAGAGTGGTGCCTGGAAAACCAACTGGGAGTCAGTTATGGCAGAACAAAGTAGCAGTTCTGAACTGGGGCAGGTGGTGGGAAGAGGACAGTCCATGGTTTCCATGTCTTGACCTCCTTGGCAGCTGCCTCTCAGCTCAATAAATGTTTTGGAGACCTCACGTTTCTACCCAAGGCATTTATTGCACTGTTAATCGCTGCATCTGCTTTCCATTTCATACAGCATTGAGATTCAAACACTACATAAAGAGCTCTTCCTTTCCTGCTACAAATCCTCTAGGTGGAGGTAAACTGTAGTGGAATAGCACAAATACACACCATTTTCCCCACGGTGATAAAACCGCTCATTTTCCCCATTCCAAAAATAACAAGAAGTGAAGTTAAAGGATCACGATGTTGTCTAAAGAGCCAGTAAACGACTGTAACCAACTGGAGGTGGACAATAAAAGCCCCCTGTAGAAAAGCCCTCAATTTCCTCAGCCCCCTTCTGCATAATGCTGCAGCCTCAACCTTGGAGATCTTCCTAAGCCTCCAGTCCCCTCAGTTCACTCGCTCCCTGCTCTGCCTTGCAATTCAGCAGCCTTCCACAAGCATCACTGCCAGTTTTTGCAGCATCTCCTGTGCTAATGACAGAGATCCGGACCTCTCCTTACTTCACATCCAAGGATACTTGGGAAGGAATGAAACCACCTGTGCCAAAGAGAACAGAGAGTTTATTGAATACAGTAATGAAATATACTGGCTCATTGAATAGGCTAGGGGGTAGTCCGTGGACTCCTGAAATTACGTGGGCAAGCCATGCATCAATTTCTCTCCTCAGACCGGGAACAAAATACCTCTTGCTCCAGCCTTTATAAATTTGCTCTTTTCCCTGTTTCAGAGTCTGCCAGTCCACACACAAAGCAAGACCAGGTGGGCCTTTGCCCTGACCTTGCGGGACTCTTCTGGTCTTACTTCCCACTTTGTCTGACCTGGGCAACAAAAGAAAGCACCACCTGAAAGGCGCTTGCTAGATTACAAAAGGAATTTCCTCTTTGTTCGTTTCAGCCTGTGCTGCCTTTCCTGCTCGGCATATTTTTAGCTGCAGGCTCACAGGGAAAGCAGATTCCATCGAAGTGGATTTCCAAATGTCCTCAGACCTTATATTGCTACGTAAATTCGTTACTGGCTAGAGAGCGTACTCAGGCTGCAGAGAAGGAGTTCCACCAAGACCTCGTGTGGCTTATATTTGGAGAGAGGGTGTTAGAGTGCCTTTTGCCCATTGTGGCTCATGGGGTGCGTGGACAGCTAGGTGGAGTCATGTGCCCCAGTTAGGATGTGCTTCATAACCAGGGGTAAGAAACTGGTCCCTCCCCAGATGTTTTGGCCTGCAACTCCCATCATCCCCACTATTGGCTGTGCTGGCTAATGAGGGGTGCCAGGCAAGACCTATGGAGTGCCACAAACAGCCACCCCTACCAGGAAGCAGGCAGCACTCCAGAATTCTCTTCACCCTCCCCTCTTCAGTCCTTGGGCCTTGACTCTCCCCACAGGAGGAGATCGAGGAGATCGAGGTGGTCTACACGGTGGAGAAGGAGCAGCTGGCTGAGCTGCGGGAGAAGTATGCACTGCTGGAGAAAGAGTACAGCCAGATCGAGGAGGAGAGGAGGGTGAAGCGGGAGCAGTGGGAGAAGGCCGAGAAGGAGCTGGCCATCCTGGTCCGAGCTGCCACGCTCATCCAGGCCTTGTGGAAGGGCTACCTGGTGCGGTCGCTGCTGCGCTCCAAGAGGAAGAAGAAGGGCAAAGGCAAGAAGGGCGGCCGGAAGTGAGTCGCTGGTTCCCAGGCTGCAGGGGTGGCCTGAAGCGCTCCACAAAACGTGAACGCTCCCGAGGGAGGGTTGTCGCTTAATAAAGGTGATTTGCCAAGGAGGCGAGAGCTGTGCAAAAGCTGCTTCTCCGCCTCGTTCTGTCTGCATTTTCGCCTTCGCTGCCTCCTTCCTTTATCCAGGCGGCCAAGACTTGCAGGGACAAACCTGCAGGAACAGTTCTGGGGTTTTTTGGTCCCAAGGACTGCATTAGCCGTCGGCACGCATGTCTGCAGACAAACTCTAGCAGCGAGGGGAGCCACGGCTCCAAGGCAACATGCTTGTCTGGACACGTGCCGCACCTGCACGCCACGTGGGGAAGCACTGCCTTGCCCACGGAAAGAGAGAGCGCCTCCCTCCCCGTGGACGCTTTGCGGCATTTCCATGCTGTGCGACAGGCAGCACGGAAAAGCAAAACGAGAGCGAGGTCTGGAGAGGAGGCCGAGGCAGTCAAGCCGGATAAGAAGGCCTTGGGGTCCGTATCCGGAACGCAGTCTGGAGGACCCTCTGCAGTCTCAGTCATTCAGTTCGATCCTTATCCTTCAAGTCATCCAGCATTTTATCCCCAGAGGAAGTCGGGCAGTGAAGGGCCTGCCCCAGGCCACAGAGCAGCTATCGATGCTTGGGATCAGATCTGTACTCCACCTGTCTCCCATGTACAAATTCTCTCCCTGCACTAACTCAGACCAATATCCTCGCTGTGTCCTTTCATGCGTGCGAGACGGTGTGTACAGTGCCAGTCCAGCAGCTGCAGAATCCAGCCCAGGGGCGCCTGTTGGGCTACAGGGAAGGAGCAGGAGGCGAGTTTTGGCACGTGAGGGAAGGGTGAGCAAGCACAAGCCGCCTGCCCTGCTCTCTTGTCTGAGGCCGTTCCCCTTGGCTTGGCCCCACTTTCAGAAGGGAGGCGAACCAGGGGGAAGCTGCTTCAGACAGCAGAACACAGGAAAGCAAGGTGCGTTCCCCTTCCGGGCATGCCTGGTTTAGCCTTAAGCTTTCATTCTTTACACCTAAGCTTCTAGCCTTCATGACTGAATATTATTATTTTATTATTATTATTATTATTATAACATTTCTATGCCGCCCCTTGCCGAAACCTCGGGGCGGCTTACAACATGATAAAATACATTGAAATACAATAGTACATAATAAATTACCATTAAATATGCTAGAAAGGAGATTTCATGGCCAGCATCAACTGGCATCTCCAAAACCAGGAGGCTGCACAGAATCGCAGTGGCTCAGGTGTCCTGTGGCCTTCCAGGTGCTTTGGCCTACAGCTCCCATTCTCCCTCCCCATTGGCTCTGCTCGCCAGGGCTGAGGGGAGCCGAAGGCCGAAACACCCTGGGGGCCACAGGCTGCCCTGACCCAGACTTGGGGCTGGTTTTCCAGTATCGCGCCTAGCTCTTGGCCACCGGCCACGACTTACCAAAGCCATCCTGAGTTGTGGAATTCCTTAGGTCCGGGTCAGTCAGGGAACTCATTCACAAGGTTCCACTTGGCACCCAAGAAGATCCCCAGTTCCTCTCTGAACAAACCTCAGACACCATTTGTTTTGCTCTCAACATGAGAACTGGCTTTCTGGTGTATTTAGAATTTTCTAATATGAAGTGCCCACACTTTTGCCAGTGTTTGTCTCTTCTGGTCCTCCTGACCTGCTTTACTGCACTGGATAAGAGAGTTTTCTTTGGGAAGCTGAGGCAGAGGGAAAGGCAGCGGACTGAGGGAACTTTGCATGGGTGGGGAGAGGGGTGCAGTCGTTGACTGAAGAAGCAGCCCTCCTCTGCAGAGTTGTACAGGGAGCAGCCCTGCTTTCGGAAACCTTGAGCGCCTTTGTCCCAAACCAGCCGTCACAATCTCCATTCAGTTCTGTCTCCAGCATATCTCACCCAAGGAGGAAGGCGCAGAGACCGCTAGTGTGAACAAGCCAGTCAGGAATGCTTTCATGGGGAACATGGAACATCCTGGTTCCATGATCCCCACCATCCCATGGACATTTCACTCATGCCACACGTGAGAAGAGCCACTTTATTTCCAGGGTGGCTTGGGCTTACAGGCACTTGGGACTTTCAGCATCCTGGCAGATGATGGTCCAGAGACGCCCCTCGAACACGACCTGGACAGAGGCCCTGTGGGGATCGCTGGAGGGTGTCGATCCTGCGGCATGCTTGTCCTAGGTTTGCTTACCGATGCCTGAATTCGATCAGAAGTTCCATATATCCTGGTAAGGGATTGGGAATGTCCCCTTCCAGAGATTCCCTGGTTGGTTGCATCTTTGCAGCTCTCGGGATGTTTCCAAAAAGAGTCTTCTCTTCTGTTTCGTCCTCCAAACCCTTCATCCCTCCATGACTTTGGTGTTTCCCTATTAGCGGCTTTCTGCCCCATCTTTTGAGGCAGAGGAAGGTTTGCCTGGTCTCTCGGTGCAGAAGGTGGAGTCCAAAGCAAAGGGCGGAGCTTAGCCACATCCTCGTCCGACATCCCGGGACCTTCCCATTTCTGTCCCCCTGGCTTTGACCCAAACAGGGTCTCATCACAGTAGGAAGGGGTGTGACTTTTCAGCCTTCATTGAGAAATAAGGGAGCAGCAGGAGAGAAACACATGTTTAGTTTAGATTCTTCTAAAGATCCTGAGGTTAAAGCACAGAATTATGGCAAATGGTCATTTTAAGGTGCAATTTCATGCATTTTGATCAAAAGAAAGGCCTCCAATCTCAGCATCTCAGCCATGCTGGGAGTTGTAGGACGTTTCTCTATCGGCAATTGCCCCCTTAATGATAAATAGTTATAATTTGCTCCATTATGCAGTTTTGGGTCTAGTGTGTATTTAAACATCGAATCTCCCCTGTGGGCTCAACTCTGACCCCTAAAGCCAGCCCAGGGTCAAGCCAACTCTCAGGCAGGCTCCTCAGCAAGTTTCAATTGAATATAAATACAATCAAGTATGGAAACAAATTGAAGCAAAACTTGGCAGTGTGGATATTAAATCCTCACTGAGTGACCTTACGCCGGGCATTTGTGATACACCCCAGTAAGGTTTTGTGTGCTCGACCATTCAAAGCAACCTTGGTTTCAGCATTGACTGGCATATGCAGCCACCTTCCCAAATCTGGAGGTCTTGTTCAGTTATACATCAGCTAAAAACTAGTTGAGGTTAAGGTTAGAGGTACATCGATATTCTTTCTGACTGCTGTTCTTTGATTTTATTTTTTTATTGCAGCCATACATGTTATCTTGATACTGTCATTAGGAGATTTGGGCATTTCTGTAAAGATGGAGGGAGCACTTAGCTCAGGAGAAGAATGCGTGTTGTGAGTGCAGACGGATGGAAAGCCCTTCTCTGTTCGAAATACTAGAAAGCCGCTGCCAGTCAGAAGCGGGACACCCACCCTAGATGAGTAAGGCAGTTTTCTGTGTCCCTAAACTGAAAATCACATCTCCCCTTTTTAAACATTGCAGCTAAATAAGCAAACACCAGGACACAGCCTGGATGGGTGTGGCTTCGTAACCCCATTCCCAGAAGTGAAGAGATCTCTTCCCAAGCTTCCCATACCTGTATTTATTCCTCTTTCGTGGTGTGCTGGCAGGCAGAGAGCCTTTCTGGGGGGTGGCGTCCCTCTCCCGCTGCGTAGCTGCCGGGCTCCATAGCAAGGGCCTCTGGGGGCTGGCTTTGTTCTCCGCCCATGGGGGATCGAACTCCGTTACCGCGCTCTGCCGCCCAGTTTGGCTACCGAAAAGGGACTCATCCACATAGGAGGCTTTGGCCTTGAGCCGGCATCCTTTCCCCCTGCGCTGCAGCGGGAGAGCCTGCGTCCCCAGTTCTGCGGAGGCCTTCATGGATCCGACGGGGCCACGCTGCAGCAAAAGCAGCCATTCACGTCTGCAGTGAGCTAGGACCGAAGAGCCAAACTCTGCACAATCGACAGGAAGACAAAAATGCAACTAAATTGTTATAATTTCTAATCAAAATGTTAAAACATTGCATACAATGAGGATGCAATGTTTGAGGGTCTCACAGGCAGTTGCGAAAAACCTAGCACAACAAACTGTCAGCTGGGCATTTGGTGCCCGTAAGAAGCTTCCTAGCGACCTCAGGATCAGATCTGCCTGGCCACCTCCTAAACAGACGAGAAATAAACTTGGCCCGTATTTCTTGATAAAACCGACAGTTAGAAAAAAATGCTCAATTGTTTATGCCAATGAGAGCCGTGGTGGGGAGAGTGTCAGACTGGGGATCCAGATGACCTGGATTCTGGTCCCCGCTCAGGCACGGAGCTCATCGGGTGACTTTGGGCCAGTCACAGGCTCTCAGCCCAACCTCCCTTGCAGGGTTGTTGTTGTGAGAATAAGACAGAGGAGGAAGAGAATTGTGTAGGCTGCCTTGATTTCCTTGAAAGGAAAAAGGCAGGATACAATATAATAATACATTTAACATGGAAAATTTCACCTGGGCAGGTCGCACTTTCCTCCCTACATAATGCGACCCCCACCCTGCCGACTCCCCTCTCCAGCAAAAAACCTTCGTGGGTTTTTGCTTTGGTTTAGGAGGAACCATGGCAAGGGGCAAATGTCATTGCAAAATGCATTTGAAAAAGACATGGATTGGTTCCCTGTGCCCCCAAATAAGTAAGTAAGTCCCAGCACTTCTTTCTGGCACTGCCTGTAAAGAGGACATAAATGGACGCCCGCACGTTCTTTGCAGATGCGTGTCTCGCCGAGCCCGAACCTTGACAGCGCTCCCTGCAAGCGGCGCCCGCTCCCCAGTGATCCCGGCGGGACTGGGCTGGGCAGCGATGCCATGCCGACGTCCGCCGCTTGCCTCCCCGGGAGGCGCGGACCCGCAGGCGGCCCGCAGGTGCAGGCCGGGCAGCGGCGCCTGCAGCGCGGCTCAGAGCAAGCGCGCCGCGACCCCCGCGCCGCCCGCCTTACCTGCGCGCCGCAGCCTCGGCCCCGCTTTCTCCCGCCGCGCGGGCTGCGCAACCCAAGAGATATCCAACCGAAGGAGGCAAGGCGCCGCTCACGCCTGGTTTCCATTAGCAACCTTCCGCGATGCAAACGTCAGGACCCGCTTTAGACCAACCCGGCTCAGTCCCCGTGAGGCAGCGTGGTCAGCGGAGCAAGACCCGGGCTCGGCGCCTGCCCTCGCCGTGAGACTGGCTGGGAGTCTCTGGGCCAGTCGCTGATTCGGAGCCAGGCCCACCTCACAGGGTTGTTGCAGTAATGGAATGCAACGACGTAAGCCGCTTTGCGTGTTTGCAGGACAAAGGTGGCAAATCAATGCAAGGCATGGATCCGCTGCCCCCAGCACTGGCTAGCCGTCAATTTGAGTTGACCTGCTGGGTTTCTGCCTGTCACGAAGCTTTTAAAGATATAGAAGAGCCTTGCAAGGAAAAAGAAAGATGCTCCTTTTTGCATTGTGGGAACTAAGGAGGCGTGTTTTGGGGTGTGGCAAGCGTGTGTGTGTGTGTGTGTGTGTGTGTGTGTGTTCAGATCCCTGTTCAGACGCGAAACTCACTCACTTGGATCATCCTGAACCACTTCAACAGCAATCTCATGCAGGTTTAAGTCCCAGCTTGCATGGCATTGCAACCTTACTGTCTTAACTTGATCTGCCCTGCAGGGTTGTTGTGAGGGTAAAGTGGGAAGAGGAGCTATGAAGGCAGTGATAACTGTGCACGAAATACGAAGAATCTGATCGCTCCAAAGCACTGCAAAAGAGAAGGCCCTTTTGGTTTTTGACTCCCGGCATTGGAGTCTATATGCGTTCTTTACCCCGCACATGGAGGTTTCTAACAACTTGCGAAACCGGAAGTGTGACCAAACCCTGTGGAGACTCCACTCCCTTGGAAGGGGGGAAACCCCGGATTGAGCGAAACCATTCCTGGAAATGGGGTGCACTCAAGTAGATGACCCTGCTACAGGTTTCATCCATTAGCCCATCCCCCTTCCCATACCACCAAAGGAACAATAAAGGCTTCTTTACAGATAATGTAATTTTAAAAGGGATTTTAAACATTTGAAAGTGCGACGGTTTAGCTTGCAATTCAACGGAACCAAAGCCTTTTTGCCTTTAGCTGAAAGTTGGAGTTGAGCTAAGAGGAAGTCAGGAGGTCAAACGCCAACTATTTGCATAGCTGCACTTAATTCTATAGCTAATTCTAATAGTTGTTGTTCAGTCGCAAAGTCGTGCCCGACTCTTCGCGATCCCATGGACAACATTCCTCTAGACTCCCCTGTCCTCCACCATCCCTCGGAATCCACCCAACCCCACACCCACCGCCCCAGTGGCCCCGTCCAGCCACCTCAACCTCTGCCGTCCCCTTCTCTTTTTGCCTTCGATTGTTTCCAGCATCTCCAATTCTAATAGTAAAGAATAATAATTCCATTGCTGCAATCTTAAGGGAGTTTTGTGGGGCGATGGCTAAAGTTGGAATCCAAGCCATCTTTAAATTCCAGTTTTAAAACAGAATATGATTTTTTAAAATAAATTTTAAGTATTTAAAGGTGCAACATTCCTGCGTGCAGGTCAACGAAGCAAAAGGCTTTTACATGCCAAATAAATGTTGGGAGTCAGGCTAGGAGGAGGTGACTAAAGGACTACGCTACCGAAAGGTACTCTCTATTGAGTCCAAGTGGACCCGGAGTTTCCTCGTAAGGAAAAGAGGTAGAGTTCCTCTAAACTTTCTAATCTCTATAAGACCACAGGCGGTAAAGGCTTGAGGAGCAGAAAATTAGCCATTCCTGGTGCACATCGTAGGAAAGAGGCGGGACTGGCAAACGCCCCTCCTACTCGCTTAACCAATCCATTGTCGCTCCTCTCTGAGACTCCGTTCAAGCCCTGCCCCCTTTTCGGCGCACGTGGCTTTTACCTTCCTGGAACGGAGTCGCTTCTTCGGCCTGAGCGGATTTCAAGGCTCTAGTCCCCATGGCTCCAGCCCAGGCCTTGGGACGGAGGAGGAAGAGGCAGCGGCGGTGCAAAGACCGGGATCCAGACGAGCAACAGGTACTGGCAGAACAGAAACAGAAAGAAGGAGGACCCGGGAATGTGGGGGAACCGGTGACCGCCCGGATAGGGGTGGAGTCCAGCTCCCATGGGCCCCAGCCATCCTGGCCTGTGATGGGGAGTGTAGTCCAGCCGTATGTTTCTGTGCCCGCTCCAGCGTCTGGAAGGCCCTCGGGCAAGACGCCCTCCGGGGTCCCTCCCTCGGTGAGCTGCCTTTGCTCCTCACGCTCCGTCTCTTCACTGCTGCCGTTTGCTGGACCGGCAGAGAGCGGGGCGGGGCGGGGGGGGGAGTGGGACGTTGCCGGGCTGAGGACCCTCGGCCAGTGCCCGGGCATGCGCACTCTTGACGCCAGCCCCAGGGCATCGGCAGAGGGGCAGAAGCGCCCGCCCCCCGAGAGCGCCGGGGATGCTGGCAGGAGCAGGCAGGTCTTGTTGCAGCATCTGGGGCTGCTGGACCCCCACACAGCACCCTTTCTTCGACCTTGCAAGCATGGTGGGCCATGTCGTGAGTGGAGCCGGCTGGAGCCGGGGGTCAGACTAGATGGCCCGGGAGACCCGTTCTGACTCGCTCTGTGTCTATGTTTCTATTTTAGAGGCTGGGAGCACCCAGCTGAGCAAGTCGAATTTGTTGCCTGTGTTGCTCTCACTTGTCTTGTGCATAACACTTTACATCAATGCATATTCAGGAATGTGGAATCGTATGTATGTTTACAATGAACTAAAGTTGCACATAATGCAACAATTCACTGACTTTGGGCCAGTCACGCACTATTAATCTCTAAGACTTGTTGTGAGGAAAAAAGGGAAAGATGAAGAACCTTGAGTTTCTTTCCAGAAAAAAAGACAGTAATTATTATAAATGAATATTTTTGCTACAGTACATTTATATTCCACTTTTTTTTTCTTGCATGGAATCCAAGGTGGTTTACAAGGTTCATCATGCACAGGGTTGGCATGTCGTGAGCGGAGCTGGCTGGAGCCGGGGGTCAGACTAGATGGCCCAGGAGACCCCTCCTGACTCGCTCTGTTTCTCTGTTTCTCTTTTATTCTTACAATGATCAAGCGCTTCAGTGCTGAGTGAGAACTAGAACCTGGATCCCACACGTGCTGGCATGGCGCTCTGGCTGCCTCCTGTTAAGACTGCGCCCGTGGCTGTTTCGTGCCTGAATTTTCCACTGTTTCTTTTTTTACAGGCCACAAAGAACTACGAGATGCCCGTCTCCGCTTTCCCTGCATCTGAGTGCGCTTCGGATGTCGAGCTGGACACTCACGAAATGGTTCGAGCCCAGAACAAGAAGAAGAAGAAATCAGGGGGCTTCCAGTCCATGGGTGAGTAGAATAGTTATCGGGGTGTCTTTTGGTCCCCTGCAACCCCCTGAATTTGCAAGGGAAGGTTGGTGGGCCTCCCTGGATTTCTGTCTCTCCCCCCAGGTCTGAGCTACCCCATTTTCAAAGGAATTATGAAGAAAGGATACAAAATACCGACCCCCATTCAGAGGAAGGTAAGAACACAGGAAGCCCCCCCACCCCCTGCATCAGTTTGTCTCAACTAATGCATTGCTTTCTTCTTCACAAGCACTGTTTTCCGGACAAGTTTTATTTAGATTAAAACCATTTGATTCATTTGTTTACTGCTTAACACAGAGGTACAGACCTTTCTTGGGTCTGAGGGCTAAATTCCATTTTGGAGAATCTCTTGGAAACTGCTTTCCAGAGAGGGATGGTGCTGAAGGAAAGGGGGGCAAGAGCAAAGCCCTGGCATATTTTAGTCCACTGCCAGTAACTAACCCTTAGGCATTTCAACCTTTTAGGGTGCAGCCTTTGGCATACTTAGACTGAAAAGATCCTGCAACTTTTTTGCTGGCTGTAGCATGCTGAAGGTTGAAGCTTTTTCAGGGAGGATAAGGCAAGATTGGCAGAAAATAGATCTTCAGGTGGTTTAGACTTCAACTCCCAGCATTCTTGAGCACGGGCCTTGCTGGCAAGGGCTTCTGGGAAGTGAAGCCAAAACATCTGGAGCTCTGCCTTTTTCCCAGCTCTGTCACACAGAGCTGAACTCATCCTCCAAGTTAAAAGCTATTACGGCCCGTGGGTAGATTTTCTCCTCTTGATGTGCCATTGGTGGGTTTTCACAGACAATTCCTGTGATCCTGGACGGCAAGGACGTGGTTGCGATGGCGAGGACCGGGAGCGGGAAGACGGCCTGCTTCCTCATCCCCATGTTTGAGAAGCTGAAGGCGCACAGTGCCAAGACCGGCGCGCGGGCCCTTATCCTGTCCCCCACGCGGGAGCTGGCCCTGCAAACCCTCAAGTTCGCCAAGGAGGTAGAGCGAAGATAAAGCAGCTGGAGGAGCCCCGGGGGGTGTGCATTTGACCGGTGGAACAACCCGCCACAAGGTTTTGGCCTTGCACCTGCTCCTTCTGTTGGGAGCAGATCGGCACTGCCTAACGCACAATTGCGGCAAAATGGATATTAGGGGAGGGGAACGGGGAAAGCTTCTGGCGGCTGGGAGCGAGCGGCGTGGCGCTTGATTGGGCCTCTGTCTCGCTTTGGATTCGTGGGAGATGGGGCACCGCTCAGGACTTAATGCCAGCTTCACTGGAGTGCCAGTGTTCAACTCTGCTCTGTTTCACCCGACAGCTTGGCCGATTTGCTGGCTTGCAAACAGCCCTCATCCTTGGAGGAGACAAGTAAGTTTTGTGCCCCTGGCATGTCTGAATGGTGCCGTCGTCACTTGCAGCAAGGATGGGAAACCTGATTAGCCTTCCGAATGTTGTGAAAACATAGGCCCTCTTGTTCTTGATCGCTGGCAGGGGCTGATGGGAAGGGGAGTCCCGCCTCCTCCAGGGCAATTTGCCCCCAGCCACCCTGCAAATTTATTGAGATGGCAGTCCCATCTTCCCCAGGCAGTCCCATCTTTCCCAGCTAATCGTCTCTTCGTTTTATCCGTACAACATCTTTGTGAGGCAGATTAGGCAGACCGTCTCTTCCTGGACCAAAGCTGCCCAGTGAGTTTCATGGACAAGCCAGGACTAGAACCCAATCGCCAACTTCTGGTTCAGTGCTAACCACTACACCACACTGTCTTTCCTAGATATACAGGCTTGGATCCAAGAGGGTCTTGGGTGAGCAGAAGGGCTCCTCTACTTGGCAACCCCTCCAACTTCTTTTGATATCTCCCCCCCAGCAGCCACATAAATTCCCCGTCCTACCTGCCCCCTTGCTTTATGTCCGGGGGCAGCACTTCAGGGGGCACAAGGAAGAGGGGCTGGGCAGGAGTAACCAGGAAAACCAGTTGCGCTGGAGACCCCGTTTGCTCATCTCTGGACCTATAGAAAGCTCTGAAGTGCCAGAAAAATGAGGGTGGCTGAGTTTGAGGTTGCTGGGAAAAGAGGTGTTTTCTCCAGCCCCCATGACTGGAAATGTCCCCTTCTCTTCCAGGATGGAAGACCAGTTTGCAGCCCTGCATGAAAACCCTGACATGTAAGTGCAAGGGTGATCCAGGGAAGCCCTGAGGCTTGGGTGGGCTGCCCAGGGGTGGGGGACTCTCCACTGACTCTCCGCCTTGCTCCAGGAGCCAGGGAGGGGCCTGTTTGAAGCCCCCTCTTGGGTAGAACTCACTGGGCTGCCTCAGCCCCTTGGGCTTGTTCAACACACGTACAGATACGTTGTTCACACGTGTGCATATATGACAAAGAACTGGGCTTAAAGCTCTTTCGAAGGCGAGTTCCTGCTGGTCCGTAACGGACAAGCTGCATGCAGGACCAGTCTATGAACAGGTCCCTCGAGCAGCGCCTGAGGCCATCCTGACATTTCGCTTAGAAGAGACATTGACTTAGTCCTTTCCCAGAGAAATGCACCTTTATTGGGTGCTGAAAGATTGTGGGTTAGGGCAAATAGGAACAGTGATGTTCAACAACAACAACGAGGAGGGGGAGAGGGAGAGGAAGAAATGATGATGATGATGGTATCCCCCATGCTGAAAGCTAGCACGACAGGGAAAAGGTTCCATTCTTCCTGAAAGTCTAGTTTACTATGTGCAGAGAGCGAATTTTGCCTGTGTGTGTCAGAGCATTCAGTCGTTCAGTGTGAAGTGGCAGCAGTCCGAGGGGTCATAATCTCAGTGAGAACCAGTCCCTTGTGGCGGTTGGATCGCCCGCTTCGCCTCATGCCCCTTGTCAGAAGGCAGCTGAGGGGAGCGTCCTCTTCTCCTTGCCGCAAGAGTTGTTGTGCCCGACCCCTTCCCCCTGTGCTATCCCCCCAGAATCATCGCCACTCCTGGCCGGCTGGTGCACGTGGCCGTGGAAATGAAGCTTAAGCTGCAGAGCGTGGAATATGTGGTCTTTGATGAGGCGGACAGGTGTGTTTGGCTACCGGAGTTGCTCTTGACTTCTTGGGGAGCTGCATTCTGGCAAAGGGGACCCAAAGGGGACCGGGAGAAGTCGCTCTGGTTCTTCCGTGCTTGTGGGCAGAGGATGGGGGTATTTGTACCTTTTGTTATCAGTTGGCATATTCTTTCTGCTTGGGGCAGGGAGAGAAACCTCCGTGCCAAGATTACCCAGCCTGCATTGCATGAATCAGAGAAATCCTTGCAGGATTTCTCTCGCCCTGCATAGTCCTGCCTCTCTTTATTTTTTTTTAATAGCCAGATGAGTTCTGGATTTGCTGGTTGCCCGCTGGCAGTGCCTCCTGGGTCACCCCTGTGGCAACTCTTCTTATTTATTTTATTTTATTTATTTAAAACATTTCTATGCCGCCCCATTTGCCGAAGCCTCGGGGCGGCTCACAGGCTGCTTGTAGCCTTGCCATCAACCGCGGGCATTTCTCGGAGCACTGCGGTTGTGCTCGGGGGCTCTTCCCCCCCCCCCGCTGCGCTGCCCCTTTAGTTAGATGGTCTCAAGTTGACTCTAGAGGTGGTCGGTGTGCGTGGCAAGCGGCATTCCTGGATTCAGCGCCAGCTCCCGGTGTGGGAGCCCTCAGTGGGTCTTTCTCCTCCCTGCAATTGTGCTCAGCTGTTCTGGCCCTTTGCCCCATTATTCTTCCTTCCCGCCACGTGTTTGCTGGGCAGGTGGCCGTGGCATCTCTTCTCCACCACCTCTTCAGCACTGTCATTGCCTGGGCCCGAGCAGGGTGCAGGTGAATCAGCCGCTTGTGGGGCGAGGAAAGGACAACTCCTGGGGGTTCTCGGTGTTGACCTAGAAGGCCCTCTGTGGCTCGGTCCAGGCTACCTGAAAGACGGTCAGCTCCTGTAAGAGCTCGTCAGTGCCAAGGTCTGCTGGGAGGGCCCTTCTCTTGCTCCCGGCATCCTCGCAGCCGTGCTTGGAGGGCCCGTGGGAGAGGCCCGCCTTGGGGGCCTCCCTGGAGATCCAGGATTCTCTGCCTGCGCGGCACCTTTCCCGTTATGTATCCGAAAGCGGGCCAAGCCCTTCTTGAGCCAGAAGGCATTTGGGAACGCTCAGGGCTCGTGAGTTTGCATTGGAGAGGTTTTACTCCTGATCGTTTTTAATTTGGGTATTTTGTTAAATTGTAATGCTGAACTGATTCAATTCTATTTCAAACTGTTTCTCTGAATCAGTTTTCATTGTATACGTTTTTAGTGTTGTGAACTGCCTTGAGCCCCAGTCACTGGGAGTAAGCAAGATATTACTATAGGCTGTGTGGGCTGGGGCTGATGGGAGTTGTAGTCCAAACCTCCCAGCTGCAGCTGACAGGCGAAGACCTCCTGAAGAGGTGGCCACGCAACCCCTTCCTCCCCTCCAATCGTCGTCTTCCGCTTCCCTGCCAGGCTGTTTGAGATGGGCTTTGCGGAGCAGCTGAAGGAGATCCTTTCGCGGCTGCCCGAGAACCGCCAGACGGTGCTCTTCTCCGCCACCCTGCCAAAACTGCTTGTGGAGTTCGCCCGAGCTGGTAAGGAGCCAGCCGCTGCTGGCTGGGTGGTGGCCCCTCACCTTTCCTGAAATTGTCCCCCACTGTGAAAGGGGGAAATCCCGTCCCTCCCCCCCACCCTGAACGCTGACGCCGAGGGCAGGATGGGCTTCCTTCCCCAGGCCTTACGGAGCCGGTGCTGGTCCGTCTGGACGTGGAGTCCAAGCTGAGCGAGCAACTCAAGGTGGGAGAAACTGCTCACGCCTTCGGGCCATTCGGGGTGATGGGCGGTGGGCGGGAAGGCAGCCCCCGCTTCTCGCATTGTGGATTTGGCTTCCAGCTCCCTCTTGCGGGGTGGGGGGCACCGCAATGCTTCAGCTTCCCTGACAGCCGCAGGGGACCTGGAGCCCTCCCAGGCTGGGAGTACAGAGACAGCGACCGGGCCAGCAAGGGGGCGATCAGCTGGTTGTTCAGGCCTGGACGCCTCGAGCAGCTCCCGGCATCCCCCAGCCAGCTGCGGAGCCCCACGCACGTGCCTTCCCTTCCCCAGCTTTCCTTCTTCCACGTTCGGGCCGATGACAAGCCGGCCCTGCTGCTGCACCTGCTGAGGACGGTGGTCAAACCCCAGGAGCAGACGATCGTCTTCGTCGCCACCAAGCACCACACCGAGTATCTGAAGGAGGTAGGCGGGAAGGGCGGGGGGCCTTGCGGCTGGGCCCCTCCCAGATCACCCTGCCCTGTTCACCATGTCAGATTCTCCCAAAGGGCCCACCCTTTTCCCTCCTCTTTCTTCTCTCAGTCTTTCACGTGCACCCTCAGGTTTTCAGCAGAGGTGAGCAACTGCGGGGTGGGGGGGGCCAGCCCACGCCCCTCCTTCCTGGCAGCCTGCACTGGGTGAAACACGAAATACACAAATAATAAAAGATAAACCACTCCATGTTGCACCCTTTTTAAGGATTGGAAGAGAGTACTTGTCAGGGTTTTTCTCCCTTTGTGTAGTCATGAGGACTAGAAACTGGGGCAGGAGGAAGAATTGTGGAGTGGCGGGAAGTGACATAGAGGAGAGAAGGAAAAACCTACGTTCCTGGTTCAGTCTTATGCCATGTCGTAGGGAGCTGAATTTCCCCTTCTCGTGGCTTGCTGAAGTCCAATGCCAGAGGCGATAGTCCTTGTTTAGTCCGGTTGCTTGGACCCCGTGGCGGGAGATCCCGCAGGGCTGCTCTGTCGCGAAGCTCAGCCTGCCTCGTTCCTCGTTGCTTCTGCAGCTGTTGACGTCGCAGGGCGTGAACTGCACGCACGTCTACAGCTCTCTGGACCAGACGGCCCGCAAGATCAACATCGGCAAGTTCACCCACGGCAAGTGCTCGGTGCTCCTCGTCACCGACCTGGCCGCCCGCGGCATCGACATCCCCCTGCTGGACAACGTGATCAACTACAGCTTCCCCGCCAAGTCCAAGCTCTTCCTGCATCGCGTAGGTGAGTTCTTGAGGTCCGGCACCTTGCGCAGCCTGACGGGTGAAGCTGCCTCCTGCCTGCCCATGAGCTCTAGTGCATCCAGCCCAGAGTTACCTGATGCAGCTCCAGGGATGGAGAGCCTCAAGCCCGTGGGGGGGAAATCTGGTCTCCATCCAGGTAACGCCACCGGGGGAGTTGAATCACGTGCCTGTCTGTATGGGGCGAGCCCTGGGTGCCTGGCATTGGTGGCCACTTGGGTGGGGGGTCCAGCAGTGGGAAAGAGGAATTGCTCCTATAATAGGGCAGCCGGACTTGCCCATCTGCGACTTCCTGTTCTCCTCCCTCTTGTTCATTTTGTCAGCCCTCTTCAGGTTCAGGTGTAAATAGACATTTGTGCTTGTTTGACATTTCCTCTCCTGTCGCTACGCAGGCAGAGTGGCTCGGGCCGGGAGGAGCGGCACGGCCTATTCCCTGGTGGCGCCCGACGAGACCCCCTACATTTTCGACTTGCACCTGTTTCTCGGGCGGCCACTTGTCCTCGCCAGTCCTCACGAGAAGCCTGCAGGTAGGTCACCCACAATCCGGAGCAATGCAACAAGCATTCTGGGTGGTCCCCCTGGGCCGCTCGGGTGCCTGCCGGGAGGGCTGGGAAAAGGAGGTCCGCAGGTGAGGGAGGCGGAAGAGCTTACTCCAAGCTCACCTTCTCCAGGGGTTCAGGTAGTCCTTGGAAGCTGACAAGGTTTGAAAGGGCCAGGAGGGGCCTGGGCCCAATCCCTGGCCCCATGGCATGGTGTCGGAAGGGAAGCGCTAGCCCATGCTGGGCCCCGTTTCACGCTCGGAGGCTTGCCTGTCTCCAGAGAGGATTCCCGGGGGGGGGGGTCCTGGTTTACTCAGAAGGAGGGCTGTTGGAAATAGTTCCTTGGTGGGGTTCAACAAACCGCTCTGTGCATGCTCAGAGACTCTCTGCCAGCTGTAGATTGCTGGATGTACATTGGAAATAAAGAGCTTTTGCCAAAGAACAGTCTGTTGGCTGAACGAGAGAAGGGGGAACCCAGTTCCTGACACTAAACCTCCAAGTCTGGGGGCTTATGGGATTGAGATAGGATTTTTCTCCTAAGTGCAGAAGGTTGCTGAACCTGTGCATGCTCATATCCAGTCATGGGTGGCGACTGGTACTTGCTGAGGGAAGCTGTCCTTGTCCCCTCTGGGCATGACCCCTTGCCTCTTTGGTCCTGATGCAGCGATGTGCCGAAGCCAGGCTGTGTCATCCTTCTGTAGGAAGCTGCCCAGCCTTACCTGGCTCACCTTGCAGGTATTGTCAGCCGAGACTGGCAGCAAACTTCGGGTTTTCAGGCAGGATTCCCCCAACCCTCCCTGGAGAAGTCCGCAACGGAGCCCATGACCGTTGCAAGGGATCTCCTTCTGAGAATGGCAAAGAATGTCTCAGATAATTTTACTGCCTTGAACGATCCGTCCACACACGTCAACATGTCCCCCAAAAGCTAAACTTCCAGTTAAACATTTAAAGATTTTAAATATCATGGGTAACAACACCGGTGTTCTCAGAGAACAAAGTCAAAGCAGCAATTTAAAGGAAAATCCCAACGCAGCAGAAAAATAACTTCCAAGGAAGCAGGTCAGAGTTAAAAACTTCCTGCCTGAAGGGTATCGCCACAAAGAGGGCCTTTTCCCTGCTGGCCCTTTTCGAATGGCATCGCCCCCCGCGGGAGCCTGACCGCTCCCAATCCCCCACTGCAGATACAGACGGCATGTTCGGCCGCGTGCCCCAGAGCGTCATCGACGACGAGGAGAGCATGCTGCAGACGGACCACGAGCGCTCGCTGGAGCTGCAGAACCTCCGGCGCGTCGCCGACAACGCCCAGAAGCAGTACCAGAAATCCCGGCCAGGCCCGTCGCCAGAGTCCATCAAGCGGGTCAAGGAGATGGACTTCAGCCTCGTGGGCATTCACCCCTTGTTCAGTGAGTGAGCTTCGTCCAGAAACGTGGGGGCGACGGCTGTGAATTGGTCCGGGATGGGGAGCGAAGACCGTCAGCTTCATTCCCCGTCCTGGAACTGTCTTGGGACCCAGAACCACCAGGGTCAGATTACATCCATAGCATGCAGTGGACCATGGTTTAATTGCAATTCAAGCACACAGACCTCCACTCTGGATTGGGACCACCTTGTGTAGGTAGGGGTGGTCCAACCGTTCCCCCTCCAAACAGCCTGCTTTCCAAAATGCAGGAATTAAAAGCAGAACGGAGACAAATCACACTATTTCTTAGGTTTATCATAACATGCATGTCCCTTACCTTATTTGTCCTTGCGAAGAACCAAAAGTAGGTTACTGGTCCTTCTCTCCATGTTCCCCCACAACAGCCCTGTGAGGTAGGTTAGTCTGAGAGTGACTGATTGGCCCGAAATCACTCAGAGAGCTTCATAGCTGAGTGGGGACTCGGAGTTGGACCTCTTAAGTCCCAGCCACTCCCACCACTAGGCCGCCTAGCTTTTCCCACTTGTGCAGCCAAGAGTACTTGGGAAAGCTTCCCAGCATAAGGGCATCACCACTGAGAAGGCCCTTCCCACAAGCCTTTTGGGAACAGCTCATTCCCGTTTTGGCCAGGATCGAAAACAGAGGGGCCCAGGAAGAATGACCTTTGTATTGTAGCTTACAACTCAAACTACCAGTAACTGAGCCTTAGAAGAAGCATTTTACGCTTTAAGAAAGGAGGGAAGGAAGCACGCAAATGTCAGGGAACCCTCAAAGGTTGGATGTTCAAGGGAAAGGCAGTGTGGGGGGGGCGGTTGGCTCATAGGCCGTGCTGCTGTCCCGAAGACCCTTGCTTCCCTGTGCAGCAAGAAGAGGGGCTTCAAAGGAGAATATTGCTCCACACAGAGTCTTGTGAATGGTAGGAAACGTGGCAGCGAGCACACGCTTGGACCCCAAAAGCCCCTGGCAGGGCAGATAATTTTTTTCTACATACTTCTGAGTTTTCTGTTTGGAGGCAAAATATTTGTATCAGCTTTTAAGGCTCCTTTGTGGTTTTTGCCAGTGGTTCACGTTTTGCTCAGCCGTGCCTCGCTTTGGATTGGTAGGAGAAACTGCTTTCACAGAAGCCTGCCTCCTTCCATAAGCGCAGATTTTTTTCTGTCTGAACACAGGATTATGTCTTAAAATGTCTAGACTTGCTCGATCAAGTTTCATGGCTGTCTGAGAATCTGAAGCTCGGACTCTTCAGAGCTAGTCCAGGCTGTTGGCAGCTGCGTCACACAGGTGACTCCTTTGCTTCGTTTCTTTTTGAGGTTTGCGTTTTGAGGACGACGAGATGGAGCGGCTAAAATTCGTGGACAGCATCAAAACATACCGTTCCAAGGCGGTAAGTGTCACCAAGGGCTCCCAGGGAGACCTGCCCTTCCTATTCATCTCAGCCTCATGGGAAGGCTGCCTGGGGCGAACCGCCAAGCTGAGCCTCGCTTTCCACTCCCCTCTGTCTTGGCTCGGCCAAGCCTTTAAGCCTCAGTCTTTAAATGGTCTTTGCACCAATTTAACCAGGCCTCCTGATTTGGGAGTCCCCCGTGAGTCCGAACAGCCCCCCAGTGAGAGGAACAGTGAGTTTAGGCCTCAGTCCACAAACGATCGAGACAAACCCTGTGTGCAGCTCTGACAGTGAATGAACTGCTCTTCATTAAAAGTAGAACGATTGCATGTCCCTGGATATCAGCTGTGGGCGCCGTCAGAGTAGCGGAGCCCTGGCAGCTTCCCCTGCAGGCGCTGAGCCTGGCTTTACCTTGACCTTTCCTTGAAAAGCAGTGGGGTCCTGGAATCGGGGACTTGCTTCTTATCGGTGATGCTGATGGGCCTGTCTTCTGAGAGGAACGCCAGTCCTCAGGGCAGCGAAGGGGAAGGAACTTTTCCAGCAGTGATACCCTGTTCTCTGCCGCAGTGTAAAGTATTTGGGGATGGCTTGGCCTCGATCCAGGAATAAGAGCTTTACAAAAGGGTGAAGACAAACACCACTAGAAGGGGATTGTTGCTGTGGATCCACACAGTTTGCCTGCATATTTGGATCCTCCTTGAAGGCACACTCTGAATGAACGCCTGCAGGTCAAAATGTACCTCTCTGCTGATGGGGAAAATAGTAGAGGATATGAAGAAACATAGACTGTCTATGATCCCCGTTTGGTTATACTCCCATAGAGTGCTGAGAGGTCGATAAATTTGGAGGGATAAAAGCTTTGAAAGCATTGGTTGTATCTGTTTAAAATTCCCTCGGCAGCTGTGATCATTTTAGTCTATTTTAGTCTGCTTTGTTTTATATATGTTTTCTTTTTTCTGTATTAGTTTATGGTAAGAAAATTTTTTAAAAATATAGATATACACAAAAAGAATTACAATTCTGCCACCGCTGGCCAGCATGGCTCACGCACTTCTGTTTTGTGTTAGACCATCTTCGAAATCAACGCCACCAACAAAACTCTGGCCAGCGATGTCATGCGTGCCAAACGCAGCCGAGACCGGCTGCTCATTGACCGGCACCAAAGGAAGCAGCAGGAAAGGCTGTCCGTCGCTGCTGCAGCGGCGGCGGCAAAGGCGCAAGGCCCAGCTGCACCAGCCGCCACCGAAGAACAAGCAGCGGAGGCGGAGGAGCATATTCAGGTACGGCTGCCGACGGTCGGCACAGGTTCCGTGGGGAGCGCCACTGCGACGGGGAACGTCGGACCCTGTGACCTGCGCTCCCGATGCAAATGGCACATACTTGCATGACTGCAACTGATTTTACTGCTGGTGCAGAGCCAAAGGGCAGTAAGGCATGGAAGGCCTGCTCTCCGAGGGCTGGAAGCCTGGGCTTCATCCTGGTCCTGCCTTCACCATGGATCAGTAATCTGCTCCTTTTTCTGGGAACCCCAAGATCCGTTTCCTCCAAAATGAATTACTGGCTTCAGCATTGTTCCGTTCTGCACGACTCTCTGGTTGGTGGGTCTTGGGTTTCTGGTAAAAGAGCCCCAAGGGCCTCCGACTCTCCGTCCCTTGTCTGCACAGTTCCAAATCAGATGGTCTAGAAACTTGGCCTGGATTTTGCCTTTACCCTTTACTCTGGGCTCTGTGGCTGGCACTGGTTTCGGGGACATTCACCCATAAAGTTCTGCCATGTGGTGTTGCTTTGAGAGTCCCGGCATGTGCCTAGCAGCCCAGGGTGAGCTTGGGAGCACCCAGGTTCGGGAGTCACTGAATTCACACGGGCACCTCTTCCTGCAGGGTTAGAGGTCTCTAACTCCTCTTAATTCCTGTGTCCCAGGATGTCTTCTCCAGCGTGGTAGGAAGGAAACGGAAGCGGCACGAGGCAGGAGAGAGTACCAGGAAGAAGAGCAGTTGGTCGGAGCATCAGGATAAAGAGTTCTACGTCCCTTACCGGCCCAAAGATTTTGATTCTGAGCGCGGGTATGTATTGGGCGTTGGGCTGGTGGAGGACCCATATCTCCAGTCTGAGCAGAGAGTGCCTTTTATTTAAGGGAGAGACCTTAACGAGGGTGTGGAATGGGCTTCCACGAGAGGTCGTCGAGGCCCCATCGGTGCGGGTGTTCAAGGACAGGCTGGACGTCCACATGGTGGGCATGTCATGAGCGGAGCCGGCTGGTGCCAGGGGTCAGACTAGATGGCCCGGGAGGCCCCTTCTGACTTGCTCTGTTTCTATGTTAATTCAGTGCCCCCTTGAGTACAGAAGGTCTCGGGTTCACATTCCTGCCTTCCACTTACAAAGTCTTCTGCTTCTGACGGCACGGAGTTTAGGCTGCCTTTCAGAGCAGGCAGTGCTGGGGGCAAGGAGCACATGGTTTGACTTCTAACCCACCGGCAGCCGTGGTTCCCACTTCCTGTCCTCGTTCAATATCCAGGCTTTGTGTTGGTGGAGAAGGAAGTGCCTTTGAGCAGCAGGCTTCCAGCGCCGTCCTCGATCTGATGGGTGACGAGAACCAGAACATGAACAAGAACAAGCAGCGCCTGAAATGGTTGGTGTCCCCTCCGAAGGGTCCGGATTTGGCCTGTTTTGCATGGGTAGAAATGGAAACTGGGGAAGATTTTGTGTACCTTGCCTCCAGGAGCAGGTCCGATAGACCGCAGCCTAGAGATTAGATGAAGGCTGGGACTTGGAAGGGCAGCAGTGAAGGAATCAGAAAAGATTGTCCCGTGGAAGGAAGCTTCGCTGGAGAACCCAGGCCAAGAGGCCCCACACCAGGGCATTCCCACCATGAAAGCTGTGCAGGGAGGAAAGCAGACAGGAAGTAAATGGGTGTGAGCAGGGCGTGATGCTTTGCAAATTCCCTGGACCGACAGAAAGATGGGAAAGTGGCTCTCGGATCCCTGGAAGCAAAACCGACAAAGCCGAGTCTTCCATAGAATATTAGAGCTGCGATATGAGTGTGTTGTTGAATTGTCGTGTCCCACTCTCCGCGACAAAAGCGCGCCGAGTCCCCCCGGCCTCCACTGCCTCCCGGAGTTTGCTCAAATTCGTGTTCGTTGCTTCAGTGAACCCATCCAACCATCTCAGGCCCTGCCGCCCCCTTCTCCTGTTGCCCTCAGTCCTTCCCGGCATCAGGGTCTTCTCCAGCGCGCCCTTTCTTCTCATTAGGTGGCCAAAGTATTTAAGCTTTAGCGCCTGTCCTTCCAATGGGCAGCCAGGGCTGAATGCCTTTAGAGTTGGTTGATTTGTGTCCATCTCCTGAGACCCTGCTCCACTCGCCTCTCCCACCTGTAACCCCCTTGGAATAATACGGACGGGAATCAGAGGAATCGCCGTTTCCTCAGTCTGGGAATAGCCCGTGTCCCCGGAATGAAGATCAGCCCCCCGACCTCTCACTGTCTTCCAGGGATCGGAAGAGGAAGCGCTTCGTGGAGCAGACGGGCCAGCAGGAGAAGAGGAAGAAGATCCGCACCGAGAGCGGGGTGCTCATCAGCAGCTCCTACCGAGGAGACCTGTATCCTCTCAGTCCCTGCCCTGCACCAGCGGGGGCAGCAGTGGGCAGGCGGGGCCCTGGAGCTCCCGGCCGGGGCTTGAGCACGGGCGAAAGGAAGGCGCTTGGGGAGGAGTGGCACGCGAAACAGCAGGGGCGCAGAACCACACGCTCCCTGGAGAGCGGGGCCTGCGCTTTCCGGCGCTGCCCATCACGGGGTGGCTTCCCGGCGTTTGTGCAGTTCGCTCCCCTTCGCTCCTCAGGCTTTGGGAGAGCTTTCAGCTGCACTGGCCTGGTGTGTTGGACGCCGGGAGGCAGCCCCCAAGAGCTGCTCTGCCCCTCGGGGTGAGAGGTTCTGCACCCCTGCGGCTGGAAGGGCAGGATTGCCCTGTGCACGCGTCTGAAGAGCTGCCCTTCGAAGGGGGCGGCTGCTCTTTTCTGCCCCCTGCGCAGGTTTAGGCCCAATGGGCTTTAAGCGTTGCTTTGATTGAAGGTCAATTGGATTTAAGACTGCGGCATCTTTTGTCGATCGGGTGCTTTCCATCCCACCTGTCCTTCAAGGAACTCAAAGCAGCTTATATAATCCTTTCCATCCCATTGTATCTTCACAACAGCCCTGTGAGGTAGGACTGGCTGGAGTCAGCAGCTGGCCCAAAGCTGCTGAGTGGGGAACAGAAGCCAAATCGCCCCAGAGCCCCAGTCCTGTGCTCTAACCACTACACCACAGTGGCTCTGGAGAGAGAGAGCAGGTGGATGATGGGACGGATCTCTTAGAGAAGTAAATGGCCCCCCCTGGGCTGGAGGTGTTTGAGCGAGGGCTTTAGCTCTTGCATGGAGCAGGATGAACCAGGCAGTCTCCAGGCTTCCTTATGCGGGGAATCCCCACTGCTTCTTGGGGTGGCCAACAGCCCATGAGACCCCCGGGCTCCATCCTTTCCCAGCATGCTTTTCAGCAAGTAGCTGCGGAATTAAGTGAACAGTAAAAGGCCCCGAATGAGCTCTTTGGGAGCAAGCATAATTTCTTGGCTATTTTCACATTCCGACTCCTGCATGACAATCCTCCTCTCCAATTTATCCTTACAACAACCCTGCCAGGTAGGCCGGGCTGGGAGCCAGGGACTGGCCCAAAGCCGCTCAGTGAGCTTCAGGGCCACCTGGGGACTAGAACCCGCATCCCTGCAGTCTTTATCCCGTGCTCTGTACTGGGCACTGACATGGTTCGGGCCTGAGAGCAAGGCATGATGGGAAACATCCCGCGTGGCCTGGCGGGGAGTGTCCCAGATCAGGGTGCGGGTGATCCAGGCTCCTCTCCCCACTCAGCTGGGTCACTGACCTGCAGCCTTGCCCGCCTCGCAGGGTTCTTGCTGTGAGGGAAAGACGGAGGGGCAGCTGCTGAAGGTCCAGAATAATGGACGGAATACTGAGGTTGCTCGGGAAAGGTTGGACTGCTTAACCCCACTTGCTGTAGCTACGAGAAATGGAAAAAGAAGACCAAGATAGATGAGCAGGACTCGGAAGCGGAGGCTGAAGGGGAGCGCCGAGGTGGGAAGCCACGGAAGGGCAGAGGTGAGCATTGCCGAAAGCCGCATTCATTCGCTCTTCCCCTCCCCGCTCCATCGGAGCAGATCTAAGCCTCTGGGAAAAGGCGATAGACAGGCCCTCCCAGACCGCATGCTGCAGACACAGAACTGGCATAATTTGAAGATTCGAGCCTGAATTCTTTTTACATTTAATTCTATTCGCAGTATTTTATTCCATTCTTCACTGCAAAAGAACGCCAGCATATAAAGATTCATAATAATTTCTGTGCTCTGGTTTTTAATCTAAAATCTGACACAAAAGGAAAAGGGATGGGCAGGGAAGAGAAAAAGCAAAACTCAGGTACCGATTCTCTGTTTCAGAGTTCAGATAGGTTTTCTTTCTGGTGGAAAAGGACCTCATGAGGCCTAGAAACTTGTTCTTTTAAAATTTAAAAATGAAGGAGCTGTTGCCAGACTGCTGAAATCCTGAGTAGATACCATGTTCTACACCTCTGGTCGTAGGCACCAGTAATACCACCTAGAACATGCGACATTCTCTCTTGACAGCTGGGACGGATCCAGCCAAACAACGGGACCCTTCTGCTAACACAGCTCTGTTTTACTTCCCAGGTGCCCACCGAGCACCGTCACAGGGCAGCCGCGGCCCCCAGCCGGGCCGTTCCGAGCTGAAAACCAAGCAGCAGATTCTGAAGACGCGCAGGAAGGTGGCCAAGCAGCGCTTCCTGCAGAGCGGGGGGCTGAAGCGGCTGAAGTCCCGCAACCGCCAGCGCGTCCAGGAGCTGCGCCGGTCCGCCTTCGGGCGTGGGAGCACCAAGAAAGGCAAGCTGCGGAAGAGGATGTAGATCCCGCCAAGGCCGCGGTGCCAGCTTTCAGGACCCACCTGCCGTTCGCTTACTGGGTAAACTCTGGTCCCAGAAGGAAAGATTAAACCATATTTGGACTGTCGCGCTTCTTCCTCGTGCGTCTGAAGCGGCTCTTTGCTTGCGAGACTGGCAAGCCCTTCCCTCCAAGCTCCACCTGTCCCGCCTCTCTGGTGTTTAGCTCAGTACCATGCTTGTCTGGGGGGCTGATACTTGGTTGCACTGCATTGGACTCCATCTGGGCAACAGTGTCGCCTACCCAGCCCAAGAATGCACCATTCCCATGTGCCACATTTATTCTAGGTCCAAGTTGAGGCACATCTCCAAAAATTCAGACGCAAGGAAGTAATACAGTGTTACATAACTGCAGAAGGTGTGACAAAACGGGGGGCGGGGGGAGGCCAGCTAAAAAGATGCCTTGGCCCCCTTCCCAAAGGCAGGGGGAGCAGGATGAGTGCTTTTCAGGACAAAGGGCCTTTCTGGTGAGCCGGACACATGGCTTTCTGCAAGCAGAGCGGTCTTCAAAAGGGCCTCTCTGAGCAGGAGAGGGGCAAGACGGGGGTCGGGCCCCCTGAGGGTTTCTTTAAGCCATCCGGGGCTCAACCTTTAGACAGGAACAGCTACAACTCTCGGTTGAGCGGCTGGGCTGGGCTGGGAATTGTCAACCCTCCTTCCTAACGAAACCTGCTCCCAGGTGCCCCTTGCACGGAAAAGGTTTGAACTGAGCCCAGGAAATGCAGCTGCCACCCGGTGGGGACGTGCTTGGGGTCAGAGCGGTGGAATCCCAGTGCTGTGCCATCGCCTGCAGCCTCGTCTTGCACGGTGGACGTTTCTGGATGCTCTTCAAGGGTGCATGGCCCACGGATATAACGGATGCACGTGCCGCTGTGGCCAGACTGGATGGATTCTAGAACAGCTGCAGCTTCTGCAGTAGCTCTCTGGTTGTAGAAAAAATGCCATTTCGATGAGCTAGGGAAAGTGTAGGACAGCACTGCTCTCCAGGCAAAGAGCTTGATCTTTTGGCAGGGGGGGTGACCGAATCGAGAAAGGTTCTGCCAGTCAGGTCAGGCCTTCTGTTGACCAAAAGTGTTCCCAGATATTTTGGGGGGGGGGGGTTGCATTGAATCTCAGCTTGTTTGCCCTTAGTCCATGCTTAAGTGCAGAGAAATTTTACAGGTGCCAGAAGCCTCAATGGAGTCAAATGCCCTAAAGCAAAAGGGCTGAAACGGGCCAAGCAAAGGGTGGAACACGTGTGCCAAACCCCCAGTGCTAGATTTGATCTGGGATTTCACATCCCCGCCTCAGGTGCTCTGTTTCAGTCAAGCTCGGCTCACATAGTGGAATTTTTTGTAGCCATCTGCAAATCATGCAGCATTTTAAGCATATATTGGGAGGGAGGGAGGGAGGGAGGGAGGGGGGACCTGTCCTGCTCCGTAGCTCTTCCTGGTGCAGCTTCCAGGCCTTGAGAAGGAGAGATGCACAGTACTTGGTTCAACTTCCCCTAAAAAAAACCCTTTCAAAATCCTTTCAATCATCAACCAACCACCAAAATCCGGGAATAAAACTACTGCCAACAAGGAGGAAAGAAACATCCCTTAAGGGCGAAAAAAGACCTCCTGCAGAAGTTTAATGGCTGACTAATGCAAGCTCAGGTGGACAACAGGCTATTTTATGTCCTAGGGAAAACTGAGGAGAACGGCAGGGCCTGCAAACCTTTTCCATCCCCTGCCATGCCCCTGCAACGGAGGTAAAATTAAGCTGTCTTGAGAATGTGTTTTTTTTCTTCAGTGTTAGGAACAGCCAAAGGGAAAATGGCTGGGGGGAAATAGAAAAATGCCTCCCTGGACATAGGAAGGAGCAGCTCTGCTGTTCACAGTCTGATATCCAGGAGGAATTGCAGGGGTGTTGGACTTCGGCGCCTGGACACCACTCCCCTGTTCCCCCAAGTGCCAGCTGGCTTTGGCACTGTGTCTCCCCCTCCGAAAAGCTTGAAACATTTCTCCGAAGCCTTCACTTCTGGCCATAATGACTTAAGCGAAAAGAGGCTGCCATGGTTGGATCTGTGACCCCATCCTGTGGGTCTTCAGCCCCACATGCTGCTGAAAGGTGGGGAGGAGAGGCTGGTGCAGGCATGGGCGGTCCTGTCAGGAGATCGCAGGCGGCGCTGAAGCATCTGGGGGGCAGAGGAGGGCTAGCCGGGCCCTGCCTCGGCGTGGGGCACAGTGGGCGGCTCCGGCTGTCGAGCCGGGGAGGGCTCCCCCTTGCGGAAGCTGGCGAGGATGTCAGTTAAGTCCACGATGCAGAGCTGGACCTGGAGAAATCGGGAGGGAGGTGTTTGGGCAGAGAGTCTGCCTGGGTGGCATGTGGGCAAGAAGTCGGGCCAGCAGCTGCCGGGGGCCACCCCCTGCTCCTCCCCCCCCCCGCAAACCCCTTGCTCGCCTGCCCCTTCCCCCGGTCCAGGCAGCAAGGAGAAGGGGACCCCATGGCGGCCAAGCAGGCAGGTGGCTGCCAAGGTGAGCACGAGGGTGAGGAATGAGAGCGGCCCGGAGGGTGGCAGAGGTCCTTGGACCTGCCTGGGTGGTGGCAGGTGCCCCACGGTGTGGCCTGGGGAGGGCTCTGGGCAGGCGGTGCCTCTTCCTGGTCCTAAGTAGCTAAACCAGAAACGCACCTGCACAAGTGCTTTGGTGCTTTGAAGAACCACCAGGGGGCGCAAAATTTGGATTTGCCTGCTTTGGTTCATCATTGAACACAAAAAGGGAAAGGGCAAAAGACAGCCCTGCCCTGCCCTGCTCTGGTGCTCCTGCTAGGGGCACCTACATCTACCATTATCCCAGGAGACATTCCAACAGAATGAGCTTAAGGAGCAATGCAGGGCGGCAGGGCTCCCTCGGGGTCCCTTCCTCCTTCAACTGGCAGCACCAGCAACTGCTCCTCACAGGCTATACAGAATGAAAACAAAGCCATTCCATCAGTTCTACTCACAGAATTTTTCCTCTGCCCTCCCCACTCCCTTTTTCTCGCATGCTGTGTCTTTTGAGATGGTAAACCAGTGAGAATGGCTGTCATGTTTCATTTATTCTAAGTTGCTCGGGGAGCCTTTCTGGCTGACAAATAACATGAAAAGTCTCCAAACAAACGCATCCATACTGACCGCATCGAGTTGGGCTTCCGTGTCATCCTGTGGCACGCCAGCCGGCAGCTTCCTCTGCTTGGCAACCAGCTGGTAGAGGTTCAGCGTTGCCAGCTTGATCTGCCCAAGTTCCAGCGTCTTGCTAGCAGCTGTGCTCTGGATACAAACCCAGCTTGACTCCTGTAGCAGGGATAGGAGGTAGGCAATTGGAGTGCAGGGTGGGGGAAATGTCCCCTTTAGCATCCAACCCTTCTGCTGCATCGTAGGATCTTAGGGCTGTGCCACCCAGACAGATTGTCCGTGATGTCGTGCAGGCAGCTTGCAGAGACGCAGCACCTGCACACTCTTATCAGCAGAAGCTGACACAATCTGCCATCCCGTTCCTTCTGAACTTTGCTGCAACCCTGATTGGAGCCTGGGAGGAAGGCATCCTCTGAGCAACCCCAAATTGCTCCCTGCGGAGGAAAATACTGCGGAGGTGATGTGGAGAATCTGCTGTAAGCACTACTTTTGCAAACGTCCTCCTGGTGAGATGGAAACTGCTAGAACTGGTCAGCTGAATTATTACGTTAGTTGTGTATTTGTGTCTGACCCATCACGACCCCATGGACAACATTCCCCCAGGTTCTCCCGTCCTCCACCATCCCCTCGAGTCCACCTAAGCTCACACCAACTGCTTCAGTGGCCCCATCCAGCCACCTCATCCTCTGCCATCCCCTTCTCCTTTGGCCGTCAATTGTTCCCAGCATCAGGCTCTTCTCCAGGGAGTCCTTCCTTCTCATTAGGTGGCCAAAGTATTTGAGTTTCATTTCGTATCTGGCTGAATTATGCAGCTTCCTCAATGTTATGCCCTTCCTAAGCGGCATGGCTATGGAGACTATTAAGATGAGCATCCACATGCCAAAACTTGCCACTGCAGTCCTGGGGTCAGAGCAGTTAGTAGCCAGAAATCAACTGATGAATCTTGGAAATTCTGCAGTGAAACCCCTGCTAGCTGCCAGTTTGTAACCACCCTTCCTGCACGAAGGACACAGGGATTCACATCTGTTCAAAAACAGCCACCCTAAAACTGTTACAGCGCATGCGACACTGGAACCATGTTTCTGCATGCAACAGTGGAACCTTTTTATTGCATGCCAAACCCGAAATGTGTGATCACAATCTAGGATCCAGTTTAAAGGCACGTGGTTTGCCCAGCCACCTGCCCTGCTCCGGGCAGCTCCCTCTTTACCAGTTCGTGCGCCCTCGTCTGCGCCTGCTCCAGCCGGGCCTGCAGCTCGGCCACGCGGTTGGTCTGCTCCAAGCTCTCGTTGCTGCTCTCCTCCAGGAACTGCTGCAGGCTGGCGCGCTCCTCCTCCAGGGCTTCGCGGGCAACTTGCTCTCTCTGGGTCAGAGCTGCGTGGGTGGCCGACAGGGCCTGGAACCGGGCGATCAGCTCTGGGACTTCTTGAAACTGGGCATGAGATGAAGACAGGAGAAAGCACAAGGGCCAGTTCTCCAGGGCCAGTTCTGTTATGCAAGAAGCTGCAAAAATACTTCTCAAGTTAAACAGCCAAGACTCCCAACAGAGTGAGGCAATTCCTTCGTTTATGGCAATGGATGGGGAAAGCCCGCTCCGCCTCGTTCATATTCCCTGTCTCATCCCATTACATACACCTACATACATTGCATGTGCCTTATAATTAGCCCATTGTCTGTTCAGGGTGTGTGTGTTATTATCCATTAACCTATTACCCCTGTGTGCTCATAACTACAGCTTTACCCCTCTCTAACTTCGTCCTGCCCTAGGACCCCATCTCATAAAACTACTGGGAGGATGAGACAGGAAATAGCACACTTCCTTTCAAGCCAATTATCTTTTCCTCCCCTCCACATTCCTTCAGAAGGTGTCATGATCTGGTTATTGGCTTCTTGGTTTCTCAATCACTGAGTTGCTTCCTTCAGTTCTGGGGGCCTAAGCGGTGTGGTTAAGCTGGCAGTGGGGGAGGGCACACTTTTTAATCTTCCAGAAGTTATCTTTCTGGCATTTGGGTAAGACTTCGCTCTACTTCTAAGACTTCGATGTGGGATTTCTATCAGTGGTTTTCTCAAATTCCAGCAAATTGGTGGGGGGGGGGCTTCTCCATTTTTTACACACTTTCATATATTCCAGATTGTACATTGTATTTGTATTCTATTGCATGTTTGCACTTCAGTTATTGCAAAGTGCCCAGAGAGCTTTTGCTATTGCACAACATAAGATACGGAAAGAAATAATATGGAGAGGACAGGAAAAGCTGACCTTTTCTTTCCCATCCCCTGTCGCCTCCTGCATCAAATTCTAGCTTGGAAGTTCTTCAGCAGGTGGACTTGTCCTCTTAGGGAGTTAATGAACCGTGTGCTCCTCGCTGCTCAATAAAGCCCTTCGTAGGCAATCACACACAGCTGCAAATGCATCCGCATTTGGCCACTGGGAATCTCCACAGCAACCATCTAGAGAGCAGCGAGCTGATAAAATCGGGAGGCTGCACTGTGCAAGAACCGGCTTTGCAAGTGTGGCGAGCGGGCAGACCTCATTTGCGGAGCAATGTAATGGCCCCATGTTTATGGCCATTTATTTCCCCTGCTGAAGCCCCTGCAGGCTTCTAACCACATTCCAACCAAGTATCGTTTCTTTCCTTCCTTGGATTTGTTCCAGTTTATCCACATCTTTCTCAACGTAGGTTTTTCCAATTCAGACACACACACTGAAGAACACCCGCTCCTTTTAAAGGTTGTACTTATTGGATTTTATTTTTGGGTGTGTCTGAGATAGTCAGAGTCTTAGCTCTGACTTTGGAAAGACATTTGGAGATGGACAATCTCCACCCTTTCCGTCAGACACCAGAACCAACCGCCTAGGGAAGAGGCGAGTCCTTGATCGCTGGAGGTCGCTGCTCAACCATCTCTCAGCCGAGCTTTAAGTGGGAACACTGCACTGAGCAGGGGAATGGGCTTGATGGCCTCAGTCGCCCCTTCCAACTTGATATCACCGTCACCCTTATTATTAATAGGCACGGCTGCAGAGAGAGCAAAACCAGGGCCCATTCCCTGATGGCCCTCCTCTAGCAGAATCAGTTTCTTTTCAAGCTCATAAGCATGCTTCAGTTTGCTTGTTTTCCTTTTCCCTCCTCCTCCCACTTTCCTTTTGTGCCGTGCCTTTGAAATCATCGTCTGCAGCAGCCGTCTCATTTCTTACTGAACTTGGGCGAGCTGTCGCAGAAGCCTTTTCGATTGATCAGTGGTGTAAACCTGCTTCCAATAAGCAATGTGTGTAAGAAAAGATTATATTGCTTATGTTTAGGGTTTGATGATGATGAAGAAGACTTGTCTAGTTGGTAATAAAAAAATACTTGGGATAAAGCCTTGGGGAAGAGTGGAACCCCAGTTTGGATGACGGAATTGTAGTAATAGACTAAGGGTTTAAAAATATCAAGAGCAGCCTCCCTGCTTTGCTTTTCAGAGAACAAGTCCAAAAATCTTTTTTTTTAAATGGAGGTACATTTTAGGGGGTTTTGTTGCAGCATTGGACTATCTGGACCACCAGCCAAAAAGTTCAGGTGGCTGGCCTTGACTTGCACCAAAAACCCCTGCACCAGAATTTTCTTCTTAGCACCTTGCTCTGTCTCCTGAACGCTCACCTGTTCTGATTTTTCTACAACCTGCTGCAGGTACATGGGGAAAATCTTGTGGTTGGCCAGGCGCAGCTGCAGCTTCTCCTTCACCTCCAGCAGCTGGGCAATTTCCTGCCGAAGGCGCTCAGCCTCAGCCCCTCTCTGGGCCGCCTGCCGCTGCTCCTCGCCAGCCTTGTGCAGCGCCCGGCTCTTCTTGGCATCGTTCTCCTGCAAGAGGCGGGCTGTGGGTCAGGCCAGGGCATCGCTGCCTGTGAACCCAACCTCCTGCCCTGGCTGCCTGTGAACCCAAAATAGCCACCCCACGGGCAGAAACTGGATGCTGGTTGACAGTGCCGAACACTAAAAGTTGCAGGCCATCCAGTGAAACCGACCGGCTGTGGATTCAGAACAGGCCCAAAGAGCGGAAGGAGATTCTGCATTTCTGATTCAAGGAGGGAAACAGAAGAGCCACAGGCTGCATCCTCCTCCAGTGCTCGGTAGGTGTCCTCTGAGACGCACCTTAATGTATGGGGTGTGTCTGCACAGACCTGCCTTCTGCAGGTGGACACAGCAGCAGGTGCATCTGCTCCAATCCATTCTGTGCCACGAGCCATTTTACTTCTCCCAACATGATGTGCTGCCCAGGGCACTGTGGGTAACTACAATGGCAGCCAGCTGCGTGCACCCCGCTGCTCAGTCCAGGGCTAGCCACAGATCGTGGGAGCTGATTCCTGCCACACCTTTCAGCACCTTCCCAGGGCAGTTTGGGGATGCTTAAAATCACAGTGAAACAAATCGAAATCCAGCCATCACGTCACTATTTATATAAAGCACAGTATTCTTTTAAAGTCTATGAACAGAAATGCAAACATGTGGAAGCATGAGAGCAGTGGACCCAAGTTTAACTCAAATCCAGCAGCAAAACAAGACCAGAGGTGAATGTCAGGCAGGGTTTCCTGGGGACCTCAGCTCTTTTCTGACTTTGCCACTTGACTAACCCTAACCTGGCCCTGGAAAGCAGTTGTCAGCACGATTTTAGCTTCCAGACCTTCAGGAACTTGTCAAACTTCAGAATGGCCTCTTTCAACTGTTGCTCTTTGCGCTCCAGCTCCTGCCTTCGATGGTGCAGGTTCTCCATCTTCACCTGAAATTCCTGGGAGAGAACCAGAGAAGGTTGGAGGAGGAAGAGGAGGAGGAAGAGGAGTTCTTTTAATGATCTTCTTTGAATGGACTTTAGGGCTGCTGGCTACTGCAGGCTTTACCATTGCAGTTGTGCCTTAAACAGTATTAAACCAAACTCTCCCTTTTCAATGTGTTCTTAGTGGATTCTTGGAGTGTGGCATTCTTCGTTTCTTTTGATTTCAGCAAAGTTGCATTGAAAGGAGCTGCAGCTCACTGGTAGGACACACCTGTTGCACAGAGATGGGCCCAGGTATAAACTCTCACCTCTCCAGGTAGGGTTGGGGAAGCCACCCAATGGAAACTCAGGACGTTCCACCAGTCGCTGTAGGCCACAGAGTTGAACCCTTTCCAACCTGAGGGCTGAATTCAGTCTCAGAGAAGCTCCCAGGGCTGCATTCCACTTGGTGAGCAGAGTGCAAATCCAAAGGGCCAGGGTCAATTAAAAAAAATATCTGAGCATATTGTAGCTTAAATCTGTTACTGCTCAGAGCAGAGCAGAGCAGAGCAGAGCATTTCAGCCTTTTGGAAATGAGGAATGTGAAAAAAAGTAGGGACGATGAGAGACAGATGGTATAATACTGCCACTAATGCAGAGCTATTTTAATTGAAAAGGGAATTCCACCAGCCTCTGTCTGTGGTGGGATTTCCCACTGGTGCAAAGGGCTTGGGCCCAGGACGTCACTAGTGAGGTCACACAAGATATGATGTCATCTGAAAAACTGGGATGTCTCTCTCTTTATACGAAGTTGAGTGCACACTTAATTATGGGTATACCCCACCTTTCTCCCACTGTGGAATTCAAGGTGGCCACATGCAGTGCCCAGGTGGTCTCCCCTCCAAGCTCAGGCCAGCCCCGGACCTGCTTAGCTTCAAGAGGGTGGATGCCGTATGTGCCTTCAGGCCATACCCTTAGACATGCTGCTTTTCTGGACAGCAGTCAGTTTAGTCATAGGTAAAAAGGTGAAAGTAAATCTTTCCCCTTGACATTGAAGTCCAGCCATGCCTGACTCTCGGGGGCAGTCCCCGTGGTCATGTGGCCAGCATGGCTAAACACCGAGGTGCACGGAACGCTGTGACCTGCCCACCGAAGCGGTACCTTTTCATCTACTTGCGTTTGCAGGCTTTTGAACTGCAAGGTTGGCAGGAGCTGGGACGGAGCAACGGGAGCTCACCCCGTTGTGCAGATTCAGACCGGCGACCTTCTGATCAACCAGCCCAGCAGCACAGCGGTTTAAACCACTGCGCCACCTGCATCATGGGGGGTAACTGCAAATCAGCAAATGAATTTTCTCTTATTGTATGGAAAAAGAAGACTTGAGACCTTGCACAAATGGAGAAACTCATTAAAGAAGGCAGAAAGAGGCTGAATAGAAAGTGACACTTTTGATGGAATATGGTATCTATTTACTGAATTTGCTAATAACTGGGGAGAATACCTGACGACCACCTGAGACATGCTGAACTCCATCTATTAGGATGATGACGATACCCTGAGCCAGTAATCTTGCTCAAACCGAAGAGAGACCATGAGTGAACAGAAAGGCTGAAAAGAAGCTGACTCACATGTGGTGTGCTTAAATTTGCTACTGTTCACAGTTAAGGTGAAAACTGTAACTGATAAAAGAGGGGAGACAAGCAATGTGTGTGGCGATTTGCAAAGACCAGGTGGCTGGGGAAAGGGCCGTGTCTATCTGGCAAACTCTGGAAGGACCGACGGAGGCCAGGCCCTGGTCCAGCATCCCTGGCTGGGCAGAGATGCACAGAGACGAGTGCAGAGAATCTTGAGTGAGTTGGTGGAGGTCAGCTTTCTGGCTGGTTCTTGAGCGTGCTCCAACCATCCCTCGCTCTCTCCTGCCCTGCATGACCTACAGGACCGGTGGGACAGCCCTCATTACCTCTTTCTGGGCCAGCAGCGCCTGGGTTACCATAGACAGCTCTCTCTGTTTCTCCAACAGCAAACAAGCAGAAGGCAAAAAGTCATTTTCCTTCTCTGGGATTTTCCTGAAAAACAAAACCAGGTAGAAGGAACGGTGTCAAACTCACACATGCCTGTCAAACTTGTCTTCAATGCCAGGACTTAATGAAGTGCTTGGCACCTACAACTCATTAAGTCTGGCACTGCACAACATCTAATCAATTTGTTTATTTGATGCACCAGGGAAAAAAACCTTTGGATCAAATGAGAAACAGCGTGTCAATCAGGCATAATAATAATAATTGTTATTATCCTATCCTGGGGCTGATGTTGCTTAATCTTTTCATCAATGACATGGAAGACGGGGTGAACAGTCTGCTGATCAAATTCACAGATGATACTAAAACCAGGGCAGTGGACACAACTGAGGAGCAGGTACTCCAGATGCAAAAGGATCTGGACAGACTATGGAAGTGGGCAGGAGACAACAGGATGGCGTTCAGTGTGGATAAGTGCAAGGTCTTGCACTTGGGGCATAAGAATAGCTGTCCTAAGTACAGGTTAGGTGACAAGTGGCTGGAGAGCAGCACTTGTGAAAGGGACCTCGGGGTGCTGGTTGACTGCAGGCTAAACATGAGTCAGCAGTGTGATGCGGTGGTCAAGAGGGCGAACGCCACCCTTGGTTGCATAGCCAGAAGTGTGGCTTCTAGATCAAGAGAGGCATTACTGCCACTCTGTACAACTCTGGTGCGCCCACAACTAGAGTATTGTGCTCAGTTTTGGGCCCCTTGTTACAGGAAGGATATAGCCAGGTTGGAGTCAGTGCAGTGCAGGGCCACAAGGTTGGTGGCCGGTTTGCAGGGGATGCTGTATGAGGCGAGACTGAGGGAACTGGGTCTCTTCAGCCTGGAGAAGAGGAGACTCAGAGGGGATCTGTTGGTGACATAAAGGGACATGAGAGGCTGTCACACGGGGGTGGGGAGAGACCTGTTCTCCCCCACAGAGGAGGGCAGGACGCACTCCAACTGAGCAAAGTTCAGGGAACCAAGGTTCAATTTGGATGCCAGAAGGTCCTTCCTGACAGTTAGGACCCCGAGGGTATGGAATGGGCTTCCACGGGAGGTGGTTGCAGCTCCAATGGTGAGGGTGTTCAAGGATAAGCTCAAATTCAGACATGCACATGGTGGGCATGTTGTGAGCGGAGCCGGCTGGAGCCGGGGGTCAGACTAGATGGCCCGGGAGACCCCTTCTCACTGGCTCTGTTTCTATGTTTCTAATAATAATAAAAAATCATCTACACAGTTATACAAATGAAGAGTGCAAGCACTGCCTTAAAAGAGGAGCTTTCCTTTATGGATAAGAGGCTGCTGATTTGAAGACAGTGCCTATCGCAATGTGTGTGTGCATTGGGAAGGGGGATTTTTGCTTGACAATTGTCCACTGCAGAATCAGTCTTTAACCGATTGAGACGGTGGGAGAAGAACAGCATGCTCTCATCCTGAACAGCTTCACTGCTGCTAGGAAGGAAACTGCATGGCAATTGTGTACTGCACGCCTGGGCTGATCCTTACAAGCCCCCTGGATGTGATGCAGCCCTGTGCACACTTCCCAGGACACACAGATTTACTGGAAAGCCTGAAAATGGGATAGTCCCATTCCCATCCGCTAAGAGGCTAAAACCCGGGCTGTGAAGAATTAGCTCCAGACCTGCAAACGTGAGTGAGCGAAGCTGCACCTAGAAGGGAAACGTCACTTATACTGAGTGGTCAATTTGTCCACCTTGGTTGTTGGAGAAATGGTGGCTCTCCAGGCTCTCCAACAGAGGACTTTTCCTGGTGCTCTTCCACAAACCCACGTCTGTTCCCCTGCCCGGAGCAACTCTGCCACCCCACGGCCTGGGAAAAAGAGGCCAACCAACCACCCAGGCAAACAATCATCGGGGTCACAGAAGCAAACATCTGTTATTCTTATTCTTATGTTACTATTGCAGAAAATAAGAAAACGTGATTGTTCCTGTAGTCTTCAAGATACTATGGCTTACGAAGACTTCAGATGCAAAACTGCATATGCTCAGAGGTGTTTGGTTTCCTATTTCTTTTTACTGCATCTCCAGGGTGGTAAGCAGAAGAAGCAGAGATGTTGTCAAACACTGGAAGTCAGTCTCCACAAGAAGAGAAATGGGAATTGTGGCTTACAAGGAACACACAAGGCCATCTAAGCCCCACCCACTCCGCAAAATCCAAGGCCAACAATGGCCCAGCTGCACCACCCTCTGGTCCATGACCCCAAATAAACTTGCCCCACGCAGGCCTGGCAGCAGCCACAGGAAAGTGGTGTCTAGGCCTGTGCCCTGGGCCTGTGCGGGGGGGGGGGGGAGGTGCCCCTATTTGTTCCTATTCCCCTAATTTTATTCACTTTTTTATAAACAAGTAGAGGAAAGTCAATTTGCAAGCTTGTCTTTGAAAGACTTGCAAAGAAGATGGACTCCCTCCCCACGGCTTGGTGTACCCCACCGCTTAAGCTGATGGTGGCCCCCCTCGCCCCCCCCCCTTCATCCGCAAATCTCACATCAGGCTCAGCTTGTCCCTAAAAGCCGCGCGCACTCTTTCCTCCAGGTCCGAAGCCATCGCGGCGCGCTCGTCCCACCGTCTCCTCCTCCGGCCGAGCTTCGCAGCAGCAAAAGGCCGGGAGGCGACAAGGGGCCCCCGGCGGGACTGCTCCCATCCCGGGAACCGCGGGCGCCCCGCCCGCCCGTTGCCAAGGAGACGGCCAGCACAACGTTCTGTTGCCATGGCCACCGCGTCCAGGAGAGCGCGTGCGAGCCTCGACCCGTCGGCGCAGACGCTGAGAGCGGGCGCGGTCTCTCGCTCAGCACCTTCTGGTGTTATCGATTTACGACGCTTTCCTCAGCCATTGGTGCGATCCTGAATCCCCCCCGCCCCGGGCAAGGGTAGGGAACTCAAGCCCAGAGGCCCGATCCGTCCCTCCGGGGGCTCTGCAGATGCCCCCCCCCCTTTTCCCAAGTGCCAGTCATGGAGTGGATTTCCAGCTTTCGCACAGTTCTTCCAGTTCTAAAAGGATGCTGGTGGCATGCTGCCATTTTGGCCCGGTCCCTTTGGGCGCACCCGCCTCTCGAAAACGGCCCTAGGACTGAAAGAGGTTTGCAGCCCCTGCTGTAGGCAGTTGAACATAGTTGTCTCCCACCAGCTCCGATTCCTCTTAGTCCTTACAACGACCCTGTGAAGTAGGATAGTTTGAGAAACAGGAACCGACCAGAATAACTTAGTGAGCTCCTTGGCTGAGTGGGCATTACCCTTACTTCTCCAGTCTGACAGTCTAAAACCACACCAAACCAGCTTGCACTTTCCTGTTCTCACATGGCAGGTACATCCTGTCTTATTTCCTCTTGTGAGGACCCCTGGGCAGCTCGCATAGCTCCATTTTACCCTCACAGCAACAACCCTGCGAGGTAGGTTAAGCTGAGAGGGAGTGTCTGGCCTAAAGTCACCCTGTGGGCTTCAGGCCAAGTGGGACTCGAACCCAGCTCTTCCAGGTCTCTTCTTCAATGCTCTCTTCACCACACCACACCACACCACACCACACCACACCAGACCACACCAGCTTTAACTTGCAGAAACACCTTGACTGTCTGCTTTGCATGTCTGTGTATTTATTTATTTTCCAATTTATATCCTGCCTTTTTCCTACAAAGGGCTCAAGGCAGCTTACATCATTCTCCCCCTCCATCTTATCCCCACAACAACCACCCTGTGAGGTAGGTTGGGCTGAGAGTCTGTGACTGGCCCAAAGTCACCCCGTTGGCCCCATGGCTGAGCTGGGACTGGAACCCAGATTGCCTGAGTCCCAGTCCCGTGCTCTCAACCACGGGCTCACTGGTGTGTGCAGGAGCCTGGAGTCTTTTTGCCTTTGTTGAAAGGTATGTTTTCCCATCCGTTGCAATGAGATGCATTCGCATGTGCGTGGGTGCAGACAGTAATAAACACAACCGCTCTTGAGGCCACAAGTCCGGGGAGGAGACCTTGTTCAGCCACATGAGCTCCTGGGCCCATGCTGGGGGTGGACAGAAGCCCTGCTGGGGCTCTGGACTCCAAGGCGAAATGCATCAGCTCGCCTCACACTCACACTTTCCCCCTCCCTCCGCTCTCTCTCTCACACACACTCAAACTCACCCCCCCACAGAAAACACACCTGCACATCCATTCTCACATTACATAAATTCTCACATTCATTCATGCATGCGCCCACGTCCACACACCTCCCCCACGCACAGCACAATGAGGTTGGGGAAGAGGCCTGTTGAGAGCTGAGATTCTTGGGAAGCCGGAATTGATTCTGGTGCGGCTGCCTTTTGCACTGCGTGGCCCACCTGCCGAGCTGTTTGTGACTCCACAGCACAGTTGGGCTATGAAAGAAGAACTGCGGACCGAAAAGCTTGCACTTGACTCCACATTTAGCTCTCGGATGCTTTGCGGGAGGAAGGAACAAGGTACTTAACATCTTGTTTTTGCGCCCTGTGTTTTGTTTTCTGTTGGCATCCATTTCTCACTCTTTGCTAATGGCGCTCTTAATTGCAGTGGGTGGGTGCCAAACTTTAGAAGATGCACCCAAGTGTGAGATTCCTGCTAGCAGGAGATTCGTGGCCAACTTGCAAGGCATATATTTTCATGTTTGTGTTTTTTTTCTGTTCTTGCTTTTCTGAGTGCTGGATTGGATGGACCATTGGCCCGAGCCAGTATTTTAATTACGGTTTTGTGTTTCAACCCCAGTGCTGTAGCTCAGACTAGAGCAGTGAAAATGAGCCCAAACCAGCCGGTTATACTTATTTCTTAAATCCCCTAAGGCACATGTTTAGGTAGAAAAACTGACTGGGGAAAGAGGGGAATTTGTGAGACTATTTTCTGTCTACGCATGCATAGAATTGCAGCTTTGAGAAATGAATCAGTAACATGCAGAGTTTGATCTACATCTGATAGCCCTCTTCAACTATCTGAAGGGCTGCCGTGGAAAGGTGGTGCAAACTTCTCCTTTGCTGCCCAGTGGAATTGTGCTAAATTTTGAAGTGCGATTGTTCATCATGACGACTATGCCTCCAAAGAGAATCCAGACATTCAGCTCTGTTGATTTCGCTCTCCTTGCATTGTACCAAGGTCCTCTGTAGGTTTTCTGTTCAGCAAATGGGTCTTAATGGCTCATGGAGGACCAAGCTGCTCCAAGCTACTTTGCATGATAACAGAATTAGCTCCCGCAGCAATTTCTGGCAAAATCCATTTCGCCATTTTTCAATGAGGACTGCAGTTTGGCTCAAAGGGAACAGGGAAGTTGGAGAAATGTGTCCAGTCATGGCATCATCCCTGCCTATCAGAAGGTCCCAGTGCATTCACCCTGGGAGCCCTGGGTCTATTACACCACTGCTCTTCAGCAGAGATTAGGATTAAAACTACCTGGGGGGGAAGATTAGGAGAAGGGACCTGACTTTAAGAGCTATTTGGCCGTAGACTGTCTCAAGCGGTGGCGGGCAGCAGCTTTGCTGGACGTTGGACAGCCATTAGTCTGGATAGCAATTAGTCAGGGATCCCCAGTTGGACTAGATGGCCTCAAAGGTCCCTTCCAACTCCAAATTTCAATGTGATTCCATTGCAAAGACATTCAGAGAACAAGTAAGCATATCTGTTCTACAGGTGAGAGCCCATGTGGCATTGTGATGAGGAGTGTGGGACTGGAACGCAGGAGCTCTGGGTTCTAGCCATGGAACCAACTGGGTGACTCTGGTCCAGACCCTCAGTCCAACCTACTGCACAGGGTTCTCATTGTGAGGATAAGAGTGGGAAAGGGAAACTTGAGTAAATTGCCTTGAGTTCCTTGAAAGGAAAGCAAAGGTGGGATATAAATATAATTAATACATTAATAAAGTGTATTACTTCTCTGGAGAACTGCAGTTTGGTGAAGAAATCTCTTCCCAACACTTCATGGGACTAACCCTATGGATTCCCTGCAGGGTAAACCTGGATAAGTCTGTGTTGCTTAACAGCAGCGGAAATACCACACTCAACTTTCTGTAAGACTTCATCTGTCTTACAGCTGGGCAGGATTACTTTAGAACCTGGAGCAACACCAGCTTTGCTTTTCCAATCCTTTCTACCCTTGCAAATTACACTGGAAGGAAGGTCTGTGCAGTTGAACATCTGGATTTTATTTCTGACTCAACTGGCAGATTATTTGGTTTGCAAAATAGCAGAGCCGTGTCGCACCAGCCCAATAATTCATCTCCCATGGGTTTGTCTTCTGAGAGTAGCAAGACTAATGCTTCAGAAAGCTTGTGGTTAGACATGAAAGCAGAAGCACTCTCTGCCTGGCCCCAACCAGTATTCAAAGATAAACTGTTCTAGATCTGGAGGTGTGATTTAGGTCTCTCAGTGAGTAACTTTGGGTAGACATCTCCTCTATGAATTTCTGTAATTCACCCTTGGTAATGGGTGTGATCCTATGTCCCAGTCCCCACATTGGGAGCTGTGGGCATTTTACTCCCTGTTTAAGCATGCAAAGTTTAAACTAGTGATCGTCACCACACCTTGTGGCAGAGATTCCCACAAGTGGATGGAGTGTTGCTCAAAGCATTTCTGTGTTTGTTTCCAGGGCTGGGGGACCCTAACAAACCTGGAGTTTGAAAGAGAAAGAGAACAAGAGAGAGAGGAAGGTTTTGCTTCCAAGCCTCTACATTTCTGGAGTTCTGTTTTCTAGCTCCCCATTGCTGTTTCAAAAGCCTTAATGCAAATCAAGTTTATCCCTTTAAACAGTGCTTTGGAGGGGTCTCCATGAAGAATTGCAGGAATCTGCTTCCTTATTCCCCCCCCAAACCCCCCCCCCCCAGAGAAGGCTTAATTGCATGTAGATATCAAAGGATCATTCTACCATCCAGCAAACTCAGCAAAGTTGATATAGCCCAAACAACGCCAGTCACAAATTCAAATATGCAACAATACTACTTTTAGGCTGGGACAGAGCCAAGCATGTATGGGCCAAAACTCAGTGAGAGAACATGGATTCATAATCAGCACCAAGATTCAATATTCAATTCCACCTTTTTCTTGCAAGAAACCCAAGGAAGCTTTCATAATCTTCCTCCTCTGCTCCATTTTATTCTTACAACAACCCTGCAAGGTAAGTCAGACCGAGAGTTGCCAACTGGTAGAAAGTCACCCAGAATGCTTCATGGCCAAGCAGGATTAGAGCCCTGGTCTCCCGAGTCCCAGTCCAACTCTCTAACCACTGTGCCACACTGGCTCTCCAACATGCCCCAGCAATAAATAAGAGGGCTTTTTCATTACTACAAAGATATCAGTTTTTAGCTGATCAGTAAACTTTGCTCCACTGACACATTTTGCACTCAGACAAAGGGGCCAAGCCCCAGTGCATGTTTAATTATACTGAATTTCGCTCAAGTGCTTCTTACATGTTTTTAGAAGAGGTCTTCCAGTTGTAATAGGAGTTACATTCCAAGCCCTTTGTTTTATGCGTACCACATTTCAACAATTTAGAAAATTGCACAGAAGCTGGGGAACCACCTAACAACTGGTGCTTGGAGGCAGGGGTGAGGGGCCGGGCTGTGGGGATCCGAGAACCCCCAGGGGTGGAATTTGGACCTCTGGCCTTGAGGTTCTTCTTCAGCTCTCAATGAACAGGTGTCTCTCCCAGCCCTGCCTGGAGATTCCAGCAGCAGTGGGTTTCACCTTCATTGTCAATGGTCCAGTGTAGCCATCCGGCTTCTCAGTCTGGACTTTAAGGGGCCCATGCATAGCACCGAAACTACTCGGCAATGGGGTTCAGGACCATGGATAGCTCCTTAAAAGTTCAGGCGGGTGGATTCACTGGCGCTCTCACACTGGCGCTGCTCCACTTCTTGCTGAGGGATCCTCTGAGAACTTTGGCATGCAAGGACCATGAGCAAAAGGTGGCAGAATTCTTGCCCCGCCCCGCCCCGCCCCGCCCCGCCCTGCCCTGGGTACCTTGCCCACAACCCCCCTGCCCTGATCCCCCCCGCCCTCCAACTCAGGAGCTGCCAGACCATGTCCGTCTTCAGATCCAGCCCATGACGGACGCAGGCCTGGGAGTGTCTGGGCCACCCCTGGAAGCTGGAGCTCAGGTCTAGGCAGGCAGAGGCAGTGCTAGCGAGTGGCCCATGAGGACTGGAGCCCTGAACCTCCCATTTGGAGTCCCAGTTCTGGGCGAGGCCCTCTGCCCCACCACCCTACCGTCCGTGGGTACTCGCTGAAAGAACGGTCCGGGGGTCTTTTGCAAACGGGATGGCCTTAGGAAACAGGCTTCTTGGGGGCTTCGGAGATATTTAAATCAGCGCGTGCGAATTGCGCGTGCCTCCCCCCGCTTTCTGTCCCGCGCGCCGGCGCCCCGGATCTTTCCGAGTCCCGCTCCTGGACGGAGAGCCAGCGGCGCGCTGCGCTTCCGGCGCGGCTGTTCAGCAAGCGCGGGGCGCCCGCGTCGAAACGGGTCCCCGCCTCCCGCGCCCCTGCAGGCCGGGCCCGCGGCCGCTAGGCGGCGGAGCAGCCCCGCGCACCGGCTTGGGCCGGGCAACCTGTAGCCGCAGCAGACGCGCCGGAGCCCGCGTGGCATGAGGGTCGGCGGAGCTGCCAGCTGGAGAGGCTGAGCGGGCAGGCGCGGGCGCGCCGCGCGGATCGCCACCCGGGCGGACCGGTTCGCCCGCCCGCCCGGCCGCCCGCCCGCGTGGCGGCTCGCAGCCTTCCCGGCTCGCGGAGCCTGGGCTCCCAGACCCCTCCCCGGGCAGCGGAGGGAGGCGGCCCGGCTTCGCAGCCGTCGAGGATCGGCGCGCCGAGCCCCGCGGACCTCCGCGCATCGCCGGGCGCGCAGCAGCTTCGCCGCCAGCGACCCCGCCGGCCTCCCCGCGGCCTCGGCATGGCCAAGCACACGTCGCTGCACTTCCGCGTGGTGGAGGGAAGGGACCTGCCCGCCAAGGACGTGTGAGTTGGCTTCGCCGCCCGATCCGCAGCCCCGACGCGTGTCCGCGCCCCCGGGGGAGCCGCCCGGCGCGCTCGCTCCCCCGGGTCGCTGCGGAGCGGGAAACCCGACGGGGCGGCGGCCTGTCCCCGTTCCCACGACCACTCCCGGACCGCGGGTCTAGACTGAAGGATGGGGATGCTTCCTTGCAGCATCTCTACAAGGCCCACTCGCTGGAGCCCTCTCTGGGCGGCGTGCAGCAGCGCATAAAAGGCTGGAAGGATCCAATGGAAGCATTCGTATGACAGTAAAACAGCATCTAGCTGTAGCACACAGTTGAAAAGCCAGTATTCGTATTTGCTGCATTAATAAATGTTCTGTAGCAGAGACAGACTCGAGATAGAAAGCTCCTTGAGCGTGGGACATGGGCAGCTCATTTCTTTTGGGTGTGGGCAGGGGCTACGGGGGCTGGGGGGGGTGGATTTTATCTATTCGTCTGAAAGTCTCCTTTCTGGATCGAGCCCTCTTGCAGCAATGGAAAGCAGTCTAAATATTCAGTGGCTAGAATGTCCGCTTTTAGGAAAACTTTGAAATTGCAGGCAAGTGCAGAAATAACTCAGCAGTCAGAGCTTGGTGTGCTGGAACACCTGCTTGGTCTTGGGTTTGATCCCTTGTACCTCCCATTAGGGTAGGAAAAACTTTGGCCTGAAACCCTGGAGAGCTGCAGCTGCCGGCCAGTGCCAGCAATATTACAAGGCTGCCTCCTAGGTTAATATACAGGGCTGCATTAAAGAGGACTCATAAGACAAAGCACGCCTCCGGTCTAAAAAGTGCCTGTGGCAAAGTCAGCAGCTTCATGCCCAGTTAAAAGCCACTTGGCCCCAGTCCTGGTGGGGTAGCTGCCTCCATCTGCCGCAGCAAAAGCATCTGATGCATCTTTAAGACTAACCAGTATTGTTATCTTGCTGTTTTTGTGTTCCCTGGAAGTGAAAATGACAAAATTGAAGCTGCCCTCCTTTGGGTGCATGAGAAGGCATGACTCACTGGAGAAGACAATCCTGGCAGGGAAAGTTGAAGGTAGAAGGTGAAAGGGAAGACCAAATATGAGATGGACGGGTTCCACCCAGGCCTTGAATTTAGAAGAGCTGAGCAGGGCTGTCATGGATAGGACATTTTGGAGAGCTTCCATTCACAAGGTTGCCATCAGTCCAAGACAGCATATAAGAACAACAAATCTTATTGCATAAACTTTCATACATTAATGGGTGTTGGTGTTGCATGTGTGGTCTGCCTGGAAATACTTGGCTGACCCCTGCTGGAAACTGTATACTGCATTCCATGGGTGTTTGCTTTGATGCTGCAAGCTTCCCCCTTAAGCTTCTTCCTGGAAATTCAGCACCTTCTGTCATCTCAGGGGGTGCTCTAGTGAGCAAAGTACTGGACTTTGGGATGGGGAGGGTGAGTTCAGACCCAACATCAGCCACGGGGACTATTACTACTTTGCAGGGTTGCTGTGCGGGAATGAAACTGGAGAAAAGGCAACCTGTACTCTTTGAAAGAGAAGCAGTGCAGAAATGTGATGGACACAGTCAAAATCGGAGAACTGGGGGCTTCTCTTGGAGAATGGAAAGCGTTGTGGCATCTAACGATCTTTTGAGAGTAACTTTTATGGTCATTTCTGTGGCAGTCTGCATTTATTAAGTGCTGCTCACGGGGCTGGACAAGATGTTCGAATATTCATACCATAGGAGGAAAAAGACAGAAAGGAAAATTAGAATGCCTTGCTGATCATGTCCCGCTCGTTCTGATATTATACTAGGGAAAAAATCTTGGAGCAGTCAAGATCCAAAGAACTTTAGATGTGTTTACCTTGCTCACCAGGTGTTTGGTGCTTCTGGAATTGACAGGGGCTGATATACTGATGAAGGAACTGAGGACCGCTGGGTGAAGAAACAGGGTTTTGGGAGTCCGCTGGCTAGCACAAGTCCTTGGCATAAGCTGCAGGGGCTCTTTCGACCTTAGATCATCCTGCGGACACTTGGCAATGTGACTGCACCAAACCGGGTGGTGTGGGCACAAATAGCCCAGGGAATTAATTGCTATGGGATTTGGGATGGTGTCACCGTAAGTTAAGGGTGCAGTTCTGTGCATATTTTGATCACTCCCAGCATAGACCAGCTGAGGAAGGCGCAATCCTCTCCCACTCTAGGCAACAGCTTCCGTCCGTTTGGGGTGGACAGGCACCCTTCTTTCCACATTTTATTGCTCTGATTATGGGACTTGGGAGCAAAAGGGATGGTGGATGTTTCTATCCCTGGTGCCGTTTGTATGAGTTCCTCCAAGGGCCTTGCTGAACAGCATCGGAGGTAGTTTGCTGGGCTGGGCAAATTCTGGCCTCTGAACAACAGCTGTAGACCGCCCTCTTGTGCCCCATAGCAAGAAGGGGTCAAGCGTAGTTGTTTGCCAGCTCTGTGGGACCCTTTTAGTGCTCCGTTCTGGATATGCAGCAGCCTCGTGTTTGTTTAAAACAAAACACCCAAAGTGTCTTTTAAGTTGGGGGGATGCTATGGGTCCACTGGTAGGTCCCCTGTTTTAAAGGACGATGGCTTGGAATCAAAAGTCAGAACCGCTTCCGTGAAGAGGTCTGTCCACATCTCTCGGCCGCCCTGACTTAGGATGTCTTTGCAGCTGCTGCTGGAAACATGAGACAGTGCTTTAGTTTTGTGAGGAGTGAAAACTCACATCTTGGATGGGGCCAGAACAAATAGTCTGGCTTTAACACACCAGGGGGTTGTGATGGGTAAGTGTGCGGCCTGGGACTCAGGCAACCTGGGTTCGAGTCCCCGCTCGGCCATGGAGCTCACCGAGTGACTTTGGGCCAGTCACAGCCTCTCAGCCCAGCCTACCTCACAGGGCTGTTGTTGCTATTATGAATTATTATGAATTCCATTTCTATACTGCCCCAAAGCCAAGCTCTCTGGGTAGTTTGCACAGCCCCTAAAATGGATGATAAAAGTACAATAATAATATTGTAAAATCAGAAAAAATATTGACAAATGTAAGTCTGCTAAAATAGATAATGAAAACAGGTAATAACAAGGAATGACAAAATGAACAGAGGAAGAAGAAAAAGGGGGACTCTGCGAACACCTGGTGGTTCCCTTCAAGCCACGGGCCGGTCAAGCAGGTCTTAGACAAGAGGGTGGCCTTGCCCAGTTTGGTGCCAGCTGGGCCACAGTGGGAAGTTATTCCATAGCTGGGGGCCACCACCAAGGAAGCCCACCCCTTGATGCCGCCCCCACACCTCCCTCGGGGGCGGCACTTGGAGGAAAGCCCTGGAGGACGAGGGTAGAGTCTGGGAGGATGGCGGCTGGGAGAGGCGCTCCAGTGGGTATTGTGGTTCTGAACCGTGTAAATCTTGTGTGAGGAGGCGATTGAAAGGAGGAAGGGAGTTATGGAAGCTGTCTTGACTTCCTTGAAGGAGGAAAAGATGAGATATAAATCTAATAAAGAAATAAATGCAGCCGCCAGTCTGTTGTGTGAAAACGGCTTTGAGTCGGAGCTGGCTTGTGGCGTGTTGCTGTTTCCATGCGGCAGCTCTTTGTGTTGCTGAGTTCACGGGATGGTTAGCAGGTTGCAGGGAAGCAAGGGCAAAGCATTTCCTCTGGATGGGGAAAAGTCAGGGTCCTCCAGAACTCCCCAGAAAGTCCCAACCTTGCATTCACAGCGGCAAAAAGGGAGGGCGAGTTGCAGATCAGAAAGCCTCTGCCTCAAATCTCATCTCTGCCATGAATGTGCCAGGTGGTCTCAGGAACGCTGCTCACTCACCATGTGAAGCCCCTCATTGGCAAGACAGGTGGGGAAAATCGATACCGGCCTACCTTACAGGGCTGTTGTAAATGCTGCAGGATGTCAAACCAAAGTTAAGCCAACACCAATAAAAGTGCAGGGTCATAACTGGGTAATAGATGTGAAAGACACTGACCACTTGAGAACGCTATACAAACTGGTTGATATCATCATCAACTTCATCATCATCATCCCTATAGAGCAGTCGTTTATTTTTGAACAGGGATGTGGCGTTGCCTGGCTTGTGCGGCTGTCACTCAGGAGGCTGAATCAAGTTACTATTATTAGCGATTGAGTTACAATCCGGGCTGATATTAATGTATAAATAATGGAGGAGGGGCTGAGGCAGTAACCTGCCGTGCCGCAACACCTGCCGGCAAGGACTCAGCCACGTGTGCAGCAAGGAGCCCGGGAGAAAGGGCCGCCTGCTTCAGCCCTGATGCTTTACATGCGGCCCACCTAGCACAGTGGCTGGAGGGACAGCCTGGGACACAGGCGTTGCCGGTTCTAGTCCCCCTCGGCCGCCACTTAGGGCCATTCATTGCTCTTAGTCTGACATACACCACAGGGTCGTTGTGTTCACGAGCTAGGTTTCCTCTCTTCACACATTCAAGACCTTTCTTTCGTGCAAAAAATCCCCCCTTCTTGCAAAACGTTCTTTATGGACTGAAGCGTTTTCCAGAAGCATGACCAACCAGAAGGAATCTCTGAGCATGCACAGAGTGGAAGATTGATTTAGTATATACTTCCAGGAGCTCTCCTTATGAGTGTGCTTGTGCCCCATCCGTTCAGGAAGAGCCTTTTGGGAATGAGCTCCTCTCCTCTGTGCACTCGCATCCTCCAAGTGGGCCACCTTCCTCTGCTGATACTGGGTCACGGGGTCAAGAGCCATGCCTGCCTCGTCTTTCTCTGAGAAACTCCCCTTGTTCCGAGCCCCTTCCCAGTAGCTGCACATCTTGGTTATTCTCAGAGGCTGCCTGAGCACCTGGGAGTCTGGCCTTGAGAGAAGAGAGCCTCTCATCTCAATGTCTGGGCTTGGCCCATATTCTGTGGCCTCCCTCTGCTGCTGCTGCTGTTGCTGCTGCTCCTCCTCCTCTTCCTCCTCATCATCATCCCAATCAGGAGGCCTTGGGCATATACACTTAAAGCAACTGCCCTTCTCACACCCAACATTGTGAGAGCCAGTGGCCCAGAGTTAAAGTGTCAGCTTGGGATTCAGGAGATCCAGGCCTGTTCTCAGTTTGTTACTGGCTGACTCTGGGCCAGTTACTGTCTCTTAGCCTAACCTCCCTCGCAGGGTTGTTGTTATGGAAAGGATAAAATGGAGAATGGGAGGGGTCCTGTGCACAATCACAGCAGCAACAGGAAACATGAAACTAGTAGTTTGGTTGCACTGAGCAAAACACCGAAAAGGAAGAATGAGCATGAAACCCCAAAGACGTGACAACGAGAAAGGCAATGGTTTGATCCGGTGCTTACGGCTGCGCCCTCATAGGACTGGACATGGGTATAAGCACCCCTGAACTTAGTGGGGTTTCACTTCTACCCTGGCATGTCTTTGGTTATGCTGTAGCTGAGGTACAAATGCACTGGAGGCAAGGATGGAATCAAGCAATGGAGCGAGAGAGCCTTAAATCAGAATAAACGCCTGGATCAGGTGGCTCATGCAGTGGGGCAGTTTTGGACTGCAGCTCCCAGAATTCCTGATGGTTAACCCTGTTGGCTTGGATGGATGGGACTTCAGGTGCAAACCACCTGGTGGACACCAGGCCAGGAAAGGCTGCAAGGTGGCCGCCTGTAATTTTTGTGAACTTCCAGATCTTAAAATTATTAGGCCAGAATCAAATGACCCCAAGACAGAGCTGTTATATTTTGGGATTTTGCACCTTCTGTGACTCTTTACTAGGATTATTAACAACAACCTGGTAGATTAAGGCCTTCTACAGCGGTTTTCCCCAACTTGGTGCTACTCTGAGGCATTGGACTACAGGACCCAGCATCCCCAGGTTGGATGTTGCTATCCAACGCATCAGGAAGGCCCCAGGCTGGGGAAGGATTTTGATGCAAGCAAACATCACTTGCTTCTCTTCTGCATCTCACTTGCTTCTACATGAGTCACAGATTGCATGCTTGTGATTCATCCTCTCTTTCAGCTGGACACTGCCTTCTCCAGGGCCTTTCCCGTTCTTTCCAACCTTTTCCATGGCTTTTTTAGCCTGCAGGATGTCTGTTTTTATTTGCAAATGGAGGCCTGGAACCCTGATGTTTTGCCCCGTTCTATTATACACAGTGTCACCTAATGGTTTTCTAATGGGACACTGAGAAAGCCAAAGAAAAAACGGGTAAATGTAGGAAGGATCCAATCTTAACCCCGTAAAGAATTCAGCAACAGAAATCTCAGCAAAGAGGTCAAAAGCTTCATGTAGAAAAGCCCTTGACTACTTTTCTCCCACGCACCTGCCATTTTTGCACCTCTTCCCTACTTCTCTGAGTGAGGGCCAACGCAGATGGGGCATCCTATCCGAAGAGGCAGCTAATTCTCCAAGGTGCACAACAGGAAATGATCCACAGTCTTGGGGGAACCCCAAAGGCTTACAGGCTTACAGAAATGTTTGTTGCAGTGTGGCATTCTATGCCTTAAAAAAGAAAGGAAAAGCCTCTTCAGAGCTAAGACTGGGAAGGGAAGAGCTGCAAAAGAGAGTGGAGGGGCCGCCTTCATTCTTTGCATGCCCGCTCTTTGTCCCCTCAAAATCTTCTACGAGTTTTTTTACCCCACGGGAAAAGACAACAGAGCGCTCATTATTTCTCCCATGGCTTTGGCAAAGAGTGTATTTTGAACGGACAAACCTCAGGAAAGGGAAGTGGTGGGGACCTACCCCTTCTCTCCCTTGGCAGCTTTGGTCCTCTGACTCTGCTTCTTTTCCTTTGAAGCCCCCCCCCCGCCCCCCCATCCCAACACAGCAACAGCTCTCATGGGCTGCCTGGCTCACTGTGCACTTGCAAACGTAGCGCTCCGAAGGCCGCCCTCCTGTCTTCTGCTCTGAAGGCAGGAGTGCAGAACCTCTTGCAACCAGGGGCCAAATTGCACGTCTCAGGGGCCCCTCTCCAGTGGTAGGCAGGGCCCATTGCAAAATGGGTGGGGTCAGAACCAAGATACTCGCAGGCGTGGTGTTTCGTTATTGATTTTTTTGATGTTTTATTGATAGTTTTAAATGTGGAAACTGTCCAGAGAGCCATGTGGCTATTGTGATGGTCTATCAAGCATAAATAAATCAATGAATTAATATACTTTTGGTTAGAAATCTTAATGGCCAGTAAGTAACCCTCAGGAGAGCCATTTCAACCCACTAGAATGGAGGGGGGGGATTGCAGCAAAGCCAAAAAGCTATTCAACCATTGGTGGTGGGGAGAAAGGGAGGGGGAGTCTGAAGAAGCTGGACTTCTAGGGACGACTGGAGGGCAGGATCAACACCCCCAACTGAAGGGGGGAACCATTCAGCCCCTGGACCTGTTCCATGCCCTAAAGGATTTCCTGGGATAAGAAAAAAGATGAAGGAAGCAATAGGGAAATCCAAGAGCCAGTGTGGTGTAGTGGTTAAGAGCATGGGACTGGGACTCAGATGATCTGGGTTCTAGTCCCCGCTCAGCCATGGAGCCAGCTGGGTGACTTTGGGCCAGTCACAGACTCTCAGCTACCTCACAGGGCTGCTGTTGTGGGGAGAAGATGGAGGAGGATATGTAAGCTGCCTTGAGCCCTTTGTAGGAAAAAGGTAGGATATAAATAAAATAAAAATAAATAAGAGAGATACACGGGGAAGCACCATAATCTGGACACTACATACGACTCTGTGAACAAGGCAAAAGGTTTGCACAATAAAAGCTTTGTCTGACCGCAATTTTCAGAAGTAGCATTCAGGACTGTTTCTGCTACTGACATGTGCAAAGCAAGGCCTGTTGTAACAAATGGATTTGGAATTCGGTTAGGAAACTCAATCTGTGCAGGAACTCAATCCACGCAGGTTGGTGTTGCCAGGTTTGGAGAGACCCTCGGGCAGGTGTCCAAGGCAGTATTATTGTATGCAATCAGAAATTCTCAGAATTGTTTGTTTTTAATGTTTGCATTTTATGCTTTTAATAACATTGCACAGAGAACTTCAGTGACCGGATGGTTTTAGAATATAGCAAATAAAGGATTTTTTTTTAACCAAAGGGGAGAAAAATTAAACACACTGATCAAAACAATCCACAACATTATCTTTTACACCCTTAGCTGTAATCTTTGTGGGAACACTAGCAAATACAGTTACTTGATTAGTTAATAAGGATCCACATCCGGAATTCATTTGCACAAGTATTGTTCTATCAGCCGGTCCTTTGAGTGGAGGTACACGCAAATCTTTTCCTGGGGCCAGTACACAAAATACACAGTGTAGAATATTATCTATTTCCCCCTTCCTACTCGATATACAAAGGTGTCAAAATCGGAGAACATATGCATACTTCCCATCCATATAAGAAAGCATTATTTGGAAACATTGTTCCATAGATGCTTGTTTCAACACAGGATAAATCAAGGAATTAAAATAATGGCAAAGGTAACTGTCATGAATATAAACCTGGTTCTCCCTACAAAATACCATGCAGTAACTCATTTCCAAGTCTTTGTCATTATTATTACATTGCATTTATATCCCCTGTATTTATATTATCTTGTGAAGAACAAAAGGTATCTTACATAGTTCCATTTTATCCTTGCAACAACAACAACCCTGTGAGGTAGGCTGGGCTACAAGTCTGTGCCTGGTCCAGAGTCTCCCAGGGTTTAAGGACTAGAACCCAGATCTCCTGGGTCCCCAGTCTAACAATCCAAGCACTGTACCACACTGCCTCTCAAATTAGCCTCCTGAAAATATAGCAAACATTTAACATTGACTTTTGGATCATTCAATCTAATGGGGGCAGTGTTCTTTGCTCTGGGACCTTCCTCATGGTGTGGAGCTTCTGACATGATCCGAGCAACACAGAAATGTTCCTGCACATGGGAACACAGGAAACTGCTTGGCAGTCCAAGTCTTCATCCATCTAGCCTGGTATGGTTGGCACTGACAGGCAGCCTCTCTCCAGGGTCTGGGGCAGAAGCTTTTCCTTCCCTGCCTAGTAGGGACCTCTGGCAGGTGGAACAGGGACTGCTGCTGTGCTAGGGTGTCACGGTGGCTATTCAGTTCGAAGGACTTTCACTCTACAGATGGCAAACGGCAGATCTCATTGGCAGCTGCCTCTGCAATTGTTCCTCTCTCTGACTGTGCCGCTCCCATTTGCCAGCAGAATCCCGCACTTCACAGATGCCACCTGGGCTTCCTTCTGTCTTCTCCCCAAACCCGGTCCATTCCTGCCGGGTGGGGAACTCCTTTCAGCATGCAGGCCAAATTACGTTTCAGAAAAGTTTTCAGGGGCAGCTGGAGGGCCAATGTCAAACAGAGTGTGGGCAAAATAGCAGAAATGCCAGCATATTTGAGCGTATAGATCTTTCCCGCCAGCAACATTTACCTTTTCAGAATGGGAGAAAACTGCAGAAAAGCTGGGGGAGCCACCGAGTGCTGCATGGGGGAGGAAAGTGCGTGGGCCCAAGATGGGTGCTTGTCCATCTAGGGGGAAGATTTGGCTCCAGGCTTGCCTGATGTTCTGCAACCACAAAGGGCAGAGCTGGGTCCTCAGTGTGATTGTGGAAGGGTTGAGGGCAAATTTGCAGGTGCTTTTTATGTTTTCTCGGACAGTACTGGCAGCAGGGAAATAACTTAACGCTTATCCAAGTTTCTTTCGTTCCCCAAAGGTCCGGCACCAGCGATCCTTATTGCATTATCAAAGTTGACAATGAAGTCGTGGCCAGGTAAGTGAAAGTTAAACCTTGGAGGTCCAAGACTTCCAAATCTTACCTTCCGTCTATCCCTAATGACTGACTCAGGGCCACAGGATGAGACATAATCCACACTGTCAACCATAAACAGCACTGCAAACCTGGCAAGTTTTAGTTTGGAAAAATGCAGTTTAATTTGTTCTTTGTTTCTCTAATATGTTGTTTACCCTCTTCAAAAACTGTTCTAAGCAGTAGGCTTTTATTTTGGAAAAAAAATGTGCTTCCGGTCCAGGTCTGTTTGCTATTGAATAGCACCACATTCTGACTGACGCTGGTTTCTGCTTGCTGTAACAAGGAGCAGCCTTGGTGAGCAGGCAGTATTTCAAACTAGGAACCAGCCTGAATCCGCTAGACAAGACAAGTCATTGATTGAGAATCCAAGTACAAGATCGATGTGGCATCTGAATTCCGAAACCCCAAATTGTTCTTCTGAAGCTGGGCAAAGACGGCCCTGGAAGGACAGGCTGTTGCTTTGCAACTTCCCAGTTAAAATAATGAGTGTTAAAGAACTCCGAAGAAATGAGATGAAATTTCAGGGAGTCTGGAGGGTGTCAAGAGAAATGCCTGCATGCAGAGCAGTGTGAATGAGCTCCACGTTGGAGATCCACGGGCTGGATGACTTGTTAGACCCAAGCAAAAGGGGTATTCTTACATTCTTGGTGTTGTATTTGAAGTTTCCCATGACTATCGTTACAAAATGTGCTTGGATCAAAACTCTGTTTCTGCTGCTCTGGTGGCTCTTAGGGACAGCTCCTCTTTGCCAGCTCTCCAAAGTCTGTCAGGGAGGTACTCCAGCAGAACTCTGAGCCAAGGACAGAAGGCACTTCCACGGGGATGATGAATGCAAAGGCTGCCCAGGCAGATCTGTGGCCGTTGGAGAGCGCTGGAAACTGGGCTGCACCTGGCTGAGAGCTGGGATAGCCTTCCAGATGTACAACCCACAAGGTTCTGTCCTTTTTGCTTCCAAGAAAGCGCTGTTAGTTTGGCCTAGGACCTGCTAGTTCATCATTCGTCTCTCCAGGATATGCAGAAAAATCTCTTCCAGCACCATATTTTAAACTCGTCCATTTTTTCCTGTCTGCTTCCTTTAAGCCCAACGTTCACACCCATACTTAGTGACACCATCAATTACATTTTGTAAAACAAGAGTTATGTACCCAGATCTACAACTTTGCTTAGGAATTTAAAGAATTTAAAAATTATTTTTCTACCCTGCCATCGGAATCTTTGGGAATCCTATGTTGCATTCAAAGGATGACAGAGCACCTGAACATGCGCAAGAGTGCATATACTGCAATTATCATTCCTTTTTATTAATCAGTTCTGTAATTATTCAAGTGGTAGACGTGGTGTTCATGTTTGGTCAGTAAGGAGGTACATGGGTAGCCTACATTTAAAGGGCTGAATCCAATCCTGCTGAAATCAAGAAGACGTGATCATAACTAATTTAAGTCATTATTGTTCATTTCAGGGTACTTCCATGCAGAGGCCCCCTACAATTCGTAGTCCAAAGGGTGTATGCTGTTATTTCCTGTTCTCTTTCTTAGTGGATAGTTTTCTAGTAAGAACAAGAAGGAAGAAGTACTGGGAAAATTCAGGAAGGCTACAATTTGAATCTGCCAAAAATTCCAAGAATGCCATGCCTAGAAGCAGCCTGTATCTGGACCCAACCCCCAATGTTTTAAAATAAATATGGATAATTCTGAACACCAATGACATTCCAGCTCTTGCTTGTTCCTTTCGGTAAGGTGACTAGGGTTGGGGGTCGAGTTTGGGGTGCTGTTGAACCATGGGTAGTTGCTGAAGCATGTCTTAAGCCAGCCAAAATAACAAACCAGCTCATACGCCAACAAGATAACACAACCAGCGCACAATCCAGCAATAAACTGCGGGTTTTCTTTGTGGGCTGTTCATGACTAACAAGCCATGGTTTCTCAGCACAGCTAGGTTCAAGCCACACAAGAACCCATATTCCCACTCAAACTCACTGGAGTATGGGTTTTTGCATCATCCAAACCCACTCGGTCTCTGTGGCAGTGATTCCTGCAGCCTCTACTTTCCCATCTTGGAAATGGGGGCTAAGATAGCTTCACTGGCAGCATGGCCCTGATCGTTGGCTTAGCAGCCTTCTGAGAGGAGGTATAAGGAGCCCTTGTCCTGCACTTCCTACTCTGCACATTGGCGGGATTCTGTGAGCCTCGGGCAATGCCATCCCAGCTGTGACGCACACTTCTCATCTCGCCCCTCCTCAAATATTTGCTGAAGAACAAGTTAATAGCATTTAAGAGCCTTAAAGAGCACAGGAGGAGCAAGCTGTAAGGATTTAGCCTTGGGCAAATAGATGATTAACCAGGGGAGGAAGGGTTGGTGTTGAGGGCATTCGGGTTCTCGACCAAGGTTGGGTCCTCAACATCTTTTTTTTGTGGGGGGGGGGGGATTGGGCAAGGAAGAGATGAGTGTTTCAGAGCATCTCCCAAACTTAACAGACTCTGCTTTAGAAATGCATTTCCAAGTTTTATTTTAAACAGAGAAAAATGCAGAATGCAGACCGGCAGCCCAGCTTTGCTCAGGCCAGAAGTGCCCAATGTTGCTCTCTGTTATTTTCTGGTGAAACCAGCAGAGCTTTAATATGGCTACAAAATGCACCGGTGTGGCTTCCTGGCAGGACGGGGCAGGTTCTAGAGGGCCCCCAGTGGGCCTTCTCTTATGCCGGGGTGAGAGGATGATGGCACGGGTGCTCAGACCTCTCCAGCAGTGGCTTGGCAGGGCCTTGCAGCAGCCATTTAAATTTCCCACCATGCCCCGATGTGCCATGGCTGAAAGTCATGGTGGGAAATTAAAGTGGTTGATCCTCAGGCTCAGTCAGCTGCCTGTTTTTTCATGGGTGGGTGTTTGTCGTCCAGCAGCCATGCCTTCTGCTACCCGAGTCTCTTTCAGGACTGGCAAGACCAAAGGAGAAGCTCAGGAAGAGAATGCTTGACGGATGGATTATATTTATATTCCATCCTTTTTCCTGCGAGGAACTCAAGGAAGTTTACATAATCCTCTTCTGACTCTCTAGTTTATCCTCACAGCAGTCCTGCAAGGTAGGCTAGGCTGAGCATTAGTGAACTTCATGGCTGAGTGGGGACTACACCCAGATCTCCCAAGTTCCAGTCTAATGTTCTAACCACTATGCTACACTGCTCCTTCCCCTGTCTTTTTAACCTCTTGCGAAACATCTAAGGCAGTTCTCATGGGCTTCCTCCTCTCCTTTTTATCTTCTCAACAACCCTGTGAAGTAGCTTACGCTGAGAGTTTGTCAGTGGTCTGAACTTACTGGGGACATGAACCCAGAACTCCTGAGTCCCAGTCCAACATTAACCCTTATGCCCCACTGCCCCCCCCCCCCGCATTTCTTGGGAAGAGGTGCCTGGTTCGGAGCCCCATGGGACTTGTAGCCCATGATCCTTGGCAAACGGATCCTGAGCCATGGTCACAACCCTCCCAGGCTCAGTCTGGACCTCACTCAGGGCGTCCGTGTTGGATCTGGAGAGGAAGGAGCACTAAAGTAGCAGATGCAAACAAGATAATTTCCTGTTTGCTTGGCAACCTTCACCTGGCAGCTCAGCAGACTGTGGACTCACCTGAAAGGGACGGCGTCCCCTGGCAACATCTGCATCTGGTTTGGGAGAGACGGAGGGAGGTGGGAACTGAGGCAGACCGGCCTTTGGTGCAGCCCAAGCCCCGCTTTGCAAGGGGAATGATTTGTTGCTTCAAACTCCTGAAGCTGGTCTTGGGGGTGATGCCTTTCCCAAGTCTATAATATCCCTGGCCTACACTGCAGGGCTGTTGTAGCCCACTGTCTCTCAGCCCCACCCTTCCAGCAGTGGGTGGATGGCCCCATGGAAGAGGGGCTTCTCAGTCGGGGCCCCAGACTGCAGAACAAGGTGACCCAGTTCCAGGCTAAGATTCCCCTCTATCCCAAAGCCTTTAATGACACTTGAAGGCTACTATGGGTCTGGGGTCCCACGCCTGTGCCCATCTAGTTCACAGAACACACTCAGCCGCTTCAGTGAGCTTTAAATTCTGTGCTTAAATTTTGCATTGAATTCCATGCTGTTTTTATGGTGTCTGGATTATGTTCCATTGTGCTTTACTAATTATTGCTAACCTCCCAGGGAACCTGGGTGGTATGGAAATGATGCTAATAATTCATAATAATGCTCCTGGAACAATAACTGTATTTGCATTTGCATTTTTAAAAGCCTGAAAATTCCCTGCCCTCACCCAAAACACACCTTTCACACAAATGTTTGGTCACGGAATGGAAAGCGCACCCTTTGCTTCCAAGCTGTCAAGTTGCTTAGTCGTTGCTATGCCGAAATTCTGCATTTCTTCATTATTCTTGAGCAAGAGGACAAATTGGTGTCAAAAGTGAAGGGAAACTCCATCCCCCGTCTGAGTTGTCTGGACCTTTTGAAAAGTCTTTCCGCAGCTGGAACGGGGCATAACAGCCGGGGAAGAACTGTGCTGGGCCTCCAGCCAGCCGTGAGCCACGGGGACACAATAAACACAGTCTCATGTTCTCCTGGGAGGTGATATCCTGCCATCATAACTAGCAGCCGTGGACAGCTTGATCCTTTCTGAATCTGTCTAATCCCCTTTTGAAGCTATTCAAGTTGGCAGCCAACCTGGATAGCTTTAATCTCGCAGGGGCAAATCCTTCCATTCAGCTATGAGCGATGTCAAGTACTTCCTTTTGGCCGTTCTTTGGTTTTCTTTCTTTCTTTCTTTCTTTCTTTCTTTTCCTGTTGCATGTGTTTCTTTCTCCTTCTGTTACATTTATTTCCCACTTCTCCTTCAAGGAGGCACATACGTCATTCTTCTTTACTCTGTGTCATCCTCACAACTCTGTGAGGACAGTTCAGCTGCGAGTCAGTGACTGGTCCTAAATTGTCATGGCTGAGCAGGGACTAGAACCCTGGGCTTGTGAGTCCCATCTCCCCATCCTCACCCATCCCAGGCTGGATTTGATAGGATGAACCCCCGTTCTCGTCTTATGAAAGTTGGAGATGGCCGTGCAGCCCCAGCCCCTGTGATGGGCCCAGAGTTAACCCTGGCATGACAGTTAAGCATTGGCTGGACCCTGGTACAATGTGGCTAATGGGCAGGTTAGAAATCCCCCAAAAAATAGGTACATAAGGTGAAGAATCTGGCCTTCTGCAGACTCGTGCAGCGTTAACCCCTCCTTTGCTTCCCTTCCACAGGACTGCGACTGTGTGGAAGAACCTCAACCCTTTCTGGGGGGAGGAATATACCCTGCACCTGCCGATGGGGTTCCACAACCTCTCATTCTATGTTCTTGATGAAGACACCATTGGGTAAGGAAGGCACGGAGGGAAGCAACTGGCCGGCCAGCCTAGGATACGACAGGAAGTTGTTACTGCTGTTTATAATCATGTTTGTTTATTGAGAAATATCTTTTCATAAAGGCCTTTGTGATAAATGGAACACACGGCCATACATGCAAAGAGCAAGCCCCTGCGCTAGAGGAGGCACGGGGGCAAACAGGCCTGACCTCACCATGCAGCTCCCAGCGCCCCAGCAAAGCCTTTCCTGGATGTTTCTGCCCTTCTCCTGCAATTTCTTTTCAGGTGGTCTGTGCTGGCTGGCCACCCTCTGGGCTTTTAAAATGCCGAATGAGAGCAGCCATCTTGATTTCCCACAATGCTCTGGAGCTGCACTGCACGAGGGGCTTTATGGGGAATTAAAATGGTGGCAGTCTGGTTCCGCTGGCTGGATAAGCTCGTTCCAGGGGAGTGTTCGGCTAGGACGGGTCCTCTGCTCAAAACTGGCATTGGCTTCTGCCCCGGTGGAAAGAACAGGAAGGTACGAGAAAAGCCTTCAGTGAATGGAGAGAATCAACTCCACATGCATGATGCAGAATCCCAGGCTTCTGTTGTTGGTTGTTGTTCTGAGCCATCAAGTCATCTGCAACTTATGGCGATCCTATGGATGAAAGTCCTCCAGACTGTCTTGTCCTTGACAGCCCTGCTCAGCTCTTGTCAGCTCAAGGCTGTGGCTTCCTTGATGGAGCCCGCCCATCTCCCAGTTGGTCTCCCTCTACCTTCAACTCTCCCTAGCGTGATGGCCCTCTCCAGGAGTTTTGTCTGTGCCCCGAGCAAGACAGCTTCTTTGGGCATCTAAAGGAAGCAAAACCCAACAATGTTCCATCCCTGTCATGAGACGGTGGGGTTCAGACAGCCGTTGGATGCAAGACTGACAGCCAGTCTGAGAGGACCGTTCCCTGTCAGGCAGTTGGTTTAATCCTCTTCTCTAATCTTCTGGCAAGGAGAATAGTTTCTGTTGGGCAGGTGGAGAGGCGGAGGTGTTTTTTCCGCATGCTGGAGGGCTTCTTGGGGAAGTAATCCTGTTGAACAAGGAGGAGGTCATGTTGCTTTTTGGCAGGGCAAGCCTACGAGAATTATGTGGAAAGAAGCTGCTGGTATTGAGCAACCCGGCTTGTACTGCCCTTCAGTTAATCCCAGTGTGCACAGTGCGTGCTTTGTTGGGTGAAAGGGGGTGCAGCGTTGAGCTCTTGCACCCCACTTTCCCAGTGAGCACTGCAGGGGCGCAACCTTCACCTAAGATGTTGGTTTCCTCTGAAAGGAGTACTGGGAATTTAGGGCTCTTTGTGACAGGTTGAATGTCAACTGCCTGGAGAACTTCAGCTATTGGGTGATATAGAAATAAAATGATGAGGATGATGGTAGGATTCTCAGCATAAATCACTCTCCAACTGTGCTGCCCCTATTGATCGATTTATTCAATTTATAGCCCACCTTTCCAAGTAAAAATATGGCTCAGGGTGGCTGACAATAATCCCATGCATATGAAATGCAGATTTATCATCAACACATTTAAGGCACATCAGTTGGGAGGAGCTGTAGCTCCTACAGAAGTTCCCCCTTTCGATGTCTTGCCTCTTCAAATAGGGCAGGAAAAGTCTTCCCAGAAAACTGCTGCCAATCTGTGTGGACGATACTGGGCTGGATGGACCAGCGGTTTGTCCCTAATAAAGAAAGAAAGAAATGACAGTCACCCATAATAGCCCACTTCAGTACATAGGGCAGCCTCTTCCTGCTGGTGGAAGGACCATGGGAAGCAAGATAGCTGGACTCCTGCCTTTGGTTTGGCAGGTAGTTCCAGTCCTCTGAGCAGCCAAAAGGTCCCCCTGTCCTTGCGTCTGTTTCTTCCAAAGGTGGCTCTAGTGCTGGCAGGACCGACTGAAAGGCTTCCCCTGAGGATCTGACAATCCAGCCATGCTTGGATGGTGGATGCTGTCATGACCTCCAGCCTGGTCAGGGAAGATGGCTCAAAGGCAGGGACTGCTCTTCTGGAAGGAAAACCATCAAGATCTCTCTCCCATTGCCACAAGTCATGCCTTCGCTATCATCACCTCATTTCTTGACTATTTTGTGTTGCAAAAACTAACCCACAGTGCAGCCAGCTGTTCCAGATGTAGGGGGAGTTTGATTGCATCACCCAATGTGACTTCCTACTTAAGGGTTCTGTTGCCATTGGCTTGTTGCTGAGACAACATTCTCCTATGACTCTAGTAGGGAAGAAGCTCACACTGCGCTATCCATGGTCCTGCTTTAGTTGTCCTTTATGCAAAAGTCCTTCTGTCTTTTCCTAGCCTGCTGTATTACCTTGTCTGAAACCTATTTATCTCATACAAGCTTCCCTGACTTTGTTCTACCTACCCTGGGCTTCAAGGTTCAAGGTTCGAATCTTTGCACCCAGCCCCTTGTTTTCTTTAAAGTTGCCTCCTCTCTTTCTGCCACCCTGGTGGATGCAAAAAGACAGAGAGAACCATGGGTGAATTTAAAGAAAAGGAGTGACTGGCTGGGGAAGTTTGCACCTCCATTGCCTGTAAGGAGTAGTCCTGATCCAGATGAGAGATTACACAGGAGTAAATTAAAGGAGCTACCACCGGCTGTGTGCTGTGTGCAGCACTGAATGCAACATGCTAGTGACGGACCGATCCCAAAGAGATAGGGCAATGTGCCGAAGAGAGATGTGCCTGTAACAGTTTCCCCCAAGTAAAACCCACTGCTGGGGACTTGCTCCTGCCCTCTTTCCATCCCAGCCAAGGCCGGCCCCACCGATGGGCCGAGGGAAGCAACGGTGTGGGACTGTTGAGAGCGGAGACACGTGTCCCACATGGGCCTGCACGGCACCCCCAAAGCGAGCGAGCTCACACGGTGGAGGGTCCAATTCCTTTGGAGGGTTCATCTGCCCGTCAGGCTGGCGGTGCTCCATTTGCGGCAGGGTGTAGTGGGTGAACTGGACCGCCACCCCTGGGGTCTTTCCAGGGTCATCATGACTTAGATTCTGAAGGAGGAGACCTTGACAAAGCAGCAATGGGAGTTTTGGAAATGCAGGGCAAGGCAGAGGACTTTGACGTGCCCACAAGGTCCCTGCTTCCAGGAGAGCAGGAATGTTTTGGGAGAGAGGGAGGGGCCCAAGAAGGGGAGGAGGAGGGTCATGGCCTTGCCCGGTCCCTGTCGCCATGACGAGGTGCTGGGAGAGATGAGCTGCCCAGTCAAAGGGGTCGCACAGGCTTCCCCACCGGGACCCGCGGGGAAGACTGAATCGCCTTGAACCCTGGCATGTTTTTATGGGAGAGAGTCCCAGGCCCCCTGCAGTTACTTAGGGCAGCATGCTCTGCACCGCCAACTGCAGGCTCTTGGAACATGCACAGAGTGTTTGATAGATTCTGAGTCACGTGGGCCCAGCAGCCGGGCAGTTGATGAGGAAATTAGGGGATCACAGTCAGAAGAAGGTGAGGGGTCTGCAGAGGCATCGATTGCAGGGTATTAACATAATGATCATGGGATTATTCTGGGTCTTGGCATGCAAATGAGGGTGATTGCAATGCTGTTAACCTGGCTGCCTGATCAGCCCTTACTGATCAGTGAAAACAAAGGCGAATTTTCCCCGGCAGGTGGAGACAGAGTTACCAAAAGGGCCGGATTTGGGGAGACATCCCAGTTTGGGTTCAACACTCTTATCATGAGCAGGGGCTTGTTTTCCAACTCACTGGAGGGTTTTGGACTTACTGTGTCTTGTGGCTGCCAAGTGCCAATCAAGAGCTGCGTTTTGGAGCTGAAGGCATGAAAAGGAGGGCTGAAAGTGCCGTTTTGTCTTCCAGGCTGAGCAGCAACGGTCTCGGGCAGACCCCCATGTCCCTGTTCTTGTCTCATTGCAGGCACGATGACGTCATCGGCAAAGTCTCCCTCAGCAAAGAGTTCATCTCCTCCCATCCACGGGGTAGGTGCTGGCGGAGACCCTTCCCAGGGGCAGCCACCAGTGGCCCGCAGGAACCCAAGGCCTATCATCCTCTAATTTGCTAGAAGGAGCTTGACTCAAGACTTCAGCATTTCACCCTGGCCTCCCCAGCACTGCGTTATTCAAGCGACTGGCCCATGCCAAGCGATCGGTGATTAAAACAAAAGCAGAAGGACATTCTAGTGCAAGCTCATTGAAAGCACTGGGACGGAGCATTTGGGGTTTAACAGGCAGGCTGTGAGCTTGAGTCCTGGTCCAGGTTGGGTCAACTTAGTATTTCTGCCACCATGGTGTTAATTTCCATTTCAAAGGGAAGGGAAACAAAAGTGAGACAGAGAATAGGGGAAAGATGAAGGGATGAGAAGGGGAAATTGACTGGAGGGAATGTGAAGGAGAGGAAGTAAAATGGACACACACGACTCAAAATATGGACACGAAGATCTCCCATTTTATATGTCGTTTTGCCCTTTGGGCACTTTTTTGCAAGCACTTCGCCCAATATGGTTTCTTGTACATTTAAAAAAATTGTTATATGAATTTCTCTGGGTGCTTCCCCCTAGTATATACAGTTTTCTGACCAGAGATCTCTATTGCAAAATGTGGAGAGGTGAGTTTTCTGACTGGTAGCAGTGGTTTGTTTTGCTTCTTGATTCAGGGAATGCAAATGAGTTTGGTTCACCTGTGAACCGAACAAGTATTTTCCTCATTCCTTATTTCCAGCTCCAGAACTGAACTGAGCACTTCGATCCTCTAAGCGTTCTGCATTTTGGAAGCGTAATTTAGATACTGAAAGATCATTTTACTATCTGCGATTTACTGATTGCTTCTATTTATAACCCACACTTTTTCCTACAAGCATCCAAGGCAACAGACATGGTCTATCTCCTCCTCTTCATTTCCTCCTCACAACAACCCTGTGAGGTAGGCTAGGCCAAGAGTCTGACTGGCCCAAGGTCACCTAGTGAGCTTCATGGCTCTCCCAGGTCCCCACCCCAACACTCTAACCACCGTACCAGCTCTGAAATGTTCTGCTCCGTCTGCCCGCATTTTCAGACTGATGTAACACAAACGCTGTAGCTTTAGTGTCAGCCGGCCTTCTCCCTTCTTCCCATCGCATCCTTTTCACATCCTCCCCCACCCCTCCTGCTCCCCCCTGATGAAGAGCCCTGCAGAACTCGAAAGTGTCCTAGCTCTTTTGTGGGATGGATTTGGGCCTGTTTCCCCCTTATCCATGGGTAGTCCATGGCTACCTTTGTGTGAATCTAGCGCCCCCTAGTGTTACGCTGAGCTAAAGCTTCTGTTCGATCCAGGTGGGCAACTGTGGCCCTTCTGTAGCCATTATGCAGCCCCCACCCCATGCAGCTGAAGAACCCCTATATTCTTTCAGCAGAACAAGTCACAAAGGGAACACATACCTTCTGAAGAAGCAGAAGAGACCTCCCAGGCAGGTACTCCCCCTTCCAAATAGGACAACACTCCCTGCTCCTTGTTCCGGTGTAAAATCACAGCATTCTCTGTGTTTTGGAAGGAAATAGACTCCCCAAACCTTGGGAATTGCCTACCAGCTTTTAGACTGGGGGACTGTATTAAAATATGTCCTGCTTCCTCAGAAAGTAGGTCAGGCCACGAGTGAGGGACTGGCTGAAAGGCACTCAAGTTTCGTGGCCAAGCGGGGACTAGAACGGGGCCCTCAAGTCTTGGCCCGGCACCCAAACCACTGCACTGCCCAGGTGTTCAGTCACAGGGCGTTCCGTCCTGGCTTTTCCTTCCTGGGCTTTTGGGTAGACCTGTCCCCACTGTGTTGCTTTGCTCAGCAAAGGGCACGGTCCAGGTCGCATGGCCTCCTTGCAGCTGAACAAATCTAGGGACGGTGATGTGGAGGAGATGCTGCCCGGGCTCTGAGGATCTGGGGAAAAGAGGTCCTTTGCAGGATACGCACCAGAACCGAATTTTGCTGGATTCCCACCCACTGCAGGAATTGACCGATGGATCCACCTGAGCCGCGTCGACCCCAACGAGGAGGTGCAAGGCGAGATCGCGCTGGAGCTGCGGGTGGTGGAGGAAGCCCACCGGAGGGTGCTCTGCTGCCGCATCGTCGAAGCCAGGTAGACACGGGTGGCGTTTGCTCTCTCTCAGTTGTGCTCATGGGCAGGGAGTCTCTTTCAAAACCTGCTTTTTCCTGGGAATAATCCTGCGGCAGGACGGGGCCTGTTCCAGGAGTGGGCAAGAACAGAATCAGCCCAGCGAGTCTGTGGGACCAGACCCTTCCTCTCTCGCTTTTTGCTCCCCTGTTCTCTCTCCTCCAGTCCCTGCTACTCTCTCTTCTACCTCTTCTCTCCACTGCGGTGGTGCAGCAAGGGCTGGACTGGGGAAGGGGGAGTCCAGCGCCCTGCAGCCCCAGATCCCTATGGAAAGAGAAGAACTTGCAGTAGGAAACAATATACAGTGGTACCTCGGCTCACGAACACCTCAGTTCACGACCAAATCGGGCTGCGAACAGAAATTTCATAAAAATTTTGCCACAGGTCGCGAACTCTGCATCAGTGACGATCGTGAGCGTGCCCGCCTTCCCTGCACGTTCACGATCCAGTCTTGCTGCGGGGGGGGTGGGGGGAGATGGCCACGATTGCCTGCGTTCCCTGCCACAATCGTGCCCGTCTCCCCCCACGCGATCTCTGTGGGGGGTGGGAGATGGCCATGATCTTTGTTGATCTTTGTCACTTTGCTTCAAATTTTTGCGAGTAAAAAAAATAGTTGCAGAACGGATTAGCCTTATTTACGTTGACCCTTATGGGGAAATTCAACTTGGCTCACGACCAGTTTGGGTCACGACCAGAGTCCTGGAACGGATTAAGTTCGTGAGCCGAGGTACCACTGTATCAGCGTACTACTTGCAAAGGGGCTATGATTTCAGCAAGTTAGCATACCTGCCCATGCATCATCAGAGGGTTTTGGGGTTTTTTGCAAAGATTCTGACCTATCAGGAGCATCAAGCAATTTCGAAGCATCAGAAGCAGGCAGCTGGAGGGAGGGGAATAAACATTAGTTGTGTCCCTCTAAAGCTCTCCCTTCCTCACCTTCAAGACCGTGAAAGGAACGGTCCCATTGCTTGTGCTCTCTCCACTCAGAAGTGTGTGAACTTGGAGGCTTCTGATTCTTTTGTGCCAGTGGAGGTAATCTTCCACTTGGCACCCCACACATTTGGGGGTTTTCGCCAGACAGCCCCATGTACGAAGGAGTGGGAGGGAGGAAACGCATCTCCCGGCCTCTCCGATTTCCTCCTTCTTTGGCCCCTGCTCCAAGGTGGCTTTTCCAATTAGAAGGGCAACTCACGCTGTTCTTTCTGCACCGGCTTGGGAAGTGAGCAGGCTGATTCTTCAGGTCCACCTTCTGAGAAGGGTGTTTCTAAACAGTCCTATGATTCCTGGGATGCTTTCCCTTCCAACTTTACCATCCCTTTGGTGCCAGCTCAAATGCCTCGCCCCCCCTTGTTGAGGCATTTCCCAAATGGGAGTGCACATGGGAGTGTATCGCCCCCTATTTTTGGAAAGCCTAGCTGTATAGATTGGTTTTAGTTCTTTAGCTGTCAAACTGTGGCTTTAAACTTTGTATGTAGTTTGGAGATGTATTGCTTATTCTATATTTTGATTGTATTTATTACTGTTGTGCATCACCCAGAGAGCTTCAACTATTCGGTGGTATAGATATGAATTAATTGCACTCCAAACTTAGCTGAGGGATAACTTGGAAACACTGCCCTATGGGGAGGAACTGAGAAAACGGGGCATGTTCAGCCTTGAGAAGAGAATCCTGAGGGGTGGGGGGGATGATATCCCTCTGTCAGTACCTCCAAGGCTGTCACAAAGAGGAAGGTCAAGATCTGTTCTTGCTGATGCCAGAGTGCAGGACATGGAATAATCAGTTCAAGTTGCAACAACCCAGATTCAGGCTGGATGTCAGGAAAAGCTTCCTCTCTGTGAGAGCAATACGACAGTGGGACCAGCTGCCCAGAGAGGCGGGGGATCTCCCACCCTGGAGACATTCAAGGTGAAACTGGGCAGCCCCCTGAGTGGGGTGGTGTGACTTGGTGTCCTGCAACAGCAGGGGTTGGGCTTGATGGCCTTCAGGGCCCCTTCCGACTTTACTGTTCTATGATTCTATGATTCATATCATACATTTCTGTGACTTCATTCTCCTTCTTGAGGTAAACAACAAAGAACTCATGTTGAAACAGTCATTTTTCCATGGGGCACATAGTCTGATGCACTCGATGGAAGCCCTGGGGAGGGTGGTTTTGCATGCAAACAAGGTGCACACTTCCTGCCTTAAAGATGAAAATGTTGTGTTTTTTCAAGACTGTGAAATTTGCCGGTGTGGCAGCAGCCATTTAAAGGTGAGGAACTGGAAGGATGGGGCGTGCACGACACCCCAACCTAGATATTAAGAGCAAAGGGGGAGGATGCAAGAAGAGTGTGAGAAAGAGAAAAAGAGTGTTAGAAAAATCTATGCTGGAGTTCAAATTTCTGTGCAGCTGTCCTGTGGGATCTGTGGGGGACCACCTTTTCCTGAGTCATGTGGGGTTCCAGGGACTTGCAGAATGATTTTTCACATTAGCAACTTTGTGTGTTAGCCCTAATGTGTTAGCATATATAAAGTAAAATTCTGATTAAAAATGACTTTTTCCATGAGCAGTAATAAGAGCAAAAGGCACCTGACAGTCTGAAACACCGATGAAAAGAATGTCACAAAATCTTTTGATCCCTACTTGTAATGCTTGGTTAAGCCCAGAAGATAAATAATTTTTTTACTGTTGGCTAAAAATAATAATAAAAATCCACGTAACGATGCACTGGCGATGGGTGAGCACTAAGCCTTTAGAACATAAAAAGAGCTCTGCCGGATCAGACCATCTAATCCATGATCCTGCTCACTTGTGGCCACAATCTTCAAGGTACATGCAGGCCATGAGTGCACCAGCACCCTTCTGCAAGTGGTACTCATAGGCACCTGCCTCTGATCATGGAGTCATGAGGACTAGTAGCCATGGAAAAAATTATCTTTATTGATTTCTCCAATCCCCTTTGAAAGCCACCTAAGTTGGGGGTCATTCCTACATCCCATGAAAGTGAATTTTAGAATTGAACTCTGTCCTTGGAGAAGCAGATGTCCAGAGTTCACAAAATGGCCAGAGACTGTTGTGGAGCATTCTGGTATTTGCCTGTTCATCTTCCTTCCAAAGCTACCTGATTTCTCAGAAGTTTGTGTCCCCTCTTGATGCATCCCACCCCCACTGAGAGCTAAGGGTCCTCTAATATAAAGGTGTTGCGGCTGTTAAAATGGAGTGTGAATTCTACTGTGATCTTTCTCCCACCCTTCCCGGTCCCCTAAAAAAGTGAGATAATTAGCAGCTTACGAATTAAAAAGCTACCCACGAACAGCACGGAACTGTGAAGAGCTTTGGCAGTGGGTGAGAGAAGGGAGAGAACTCAGAGTTATTGAAACATCTGTGGTCTTGGCTGAACTTCCAACTTACAAATTATTTTTTGTCTTGCTTTCCTTGTTTGCAAGATTTATACACCGCACCAAATTCCGGTGTGGAGAGTTTGGAGAGGTGGACAATAAAATGCATAAAAGAATAAAATATGTTAAAAGCAAGATTAAAAAGAGAAACAAGGCTGGTGAGTTCAGGAAGGCACCCTGTAATAACAGTGTTTTCAAGGGCCACTGAATGCCGTGTGGTGTTGGCACTTGCCTGACTTCCGGACGCAGGGAGCTCTTCAGAAGGGGGAGCCACCAGGCAGGAGGCCCTGTTCTGGGGGGACACCAGTGGGACCAGGAGCACCCCATCCACTACCCTCAGTGACTCAGCGGGGTGGCCAAGGAGAAGGATCTGCCTTGGTTACCTTGGTCCCAAGTCGGGTAGCTGGCCAGCCTTAAGGGGGGCCCCACGCCTCCTGCAGTGCAGCGTCCAGCCTTGAGCTGGCTAGCACCTGGCCCTGGGGTCAAGCGAGCCCCAGTGGTCGTCCCAGCTGCTCGTGCAACCGGGGTGCCACCACCGAAAAGCCTCTCTTCCTGGTAGCTGCAATCCTCACTTTGTTTGGTGGGGGGGCCCAGAGAGAGACGAGGCAAGGCTATCTTGAGGATTAGGGCAGGTATGTGCAGAATCTTCCAGGGCTTTCAGTTCCTCACCCCAACAGCTTGTCTAGAAGGATGCTGTGCCTGATGGCACTGAGAGCCACTGAGAAGCCCCTCTCTTGACCAAGGCACCCAAAAGCAGGCCTAAAGCCCAGTTGAAATGACTCTATGAGCGTAAAGAGAGAGCGAGAGAGAGACCAAAGGACAATTGCAGGATCTCACACCCTGGTAATTTCCCAGCGTGTTTCAAAAAGCGTTTCTTTATTAAGAAATGGGGATGTGTAACAAACAAAACTGCGAGAAAAATCAGTGCACTCATTAAAGCTGAGCTCATTACAGTAAACCTCATTCATAAAGCTGTTGGGTTGGATCCCGTTTTGGGCTCTGAAATCAGTGGGGCTTAAGGAAGGCCGACTGCTTCTTGGAATCGGAGAATTGTCCAGTTGGAGGGGTCCCATAAGGCCGTGGGGTCCAACCTGCTGCTGAGCGCAGGACGCCAGCTTAAGTGTCCCGGCCAGTGGCTGTCCGCTGCATCTTGAATGCCACCAGTGCGGGAAAGACCACGTGTCTTCTCCTTAAGGCACCTTATAAGTGAAGAAGGGTTCTAAGTGCTGCACCAAGTATTGAAAAATACCCCCTCTGCCCACACTCACAGTATAACAGATGCAATGCAAAAGAAAAAAGGAAAGGGGAGGGCAGAGGAAAGCAGCGGCTCCTTCTCTGGACATTGAATGGGTGAGGGTAGTCTTAGTTTAAAATGGTGTTCTTTTGGCAGAGAAGGCCAAAGCAAATTCCCTGCAGCTACCCCTTCACTAGAAAATGTCTGGGTCCAGCTCGTGGGCTCCCATTATGGCGTTCTCCTTGGGAGTCACAGTCTGGCCAAGGCACTTAAGTTCCATTGATTTCAGCGGGTCTGTTTTAAATAGTTTCAATGCACTGAGTCCTACCACGCTGTGGTATTACCGTGTTG